AATCCAGGCTAGACACACTGCAATATTGCTCAACCCCCAAGGCAGCTACACCTAGGACATAAATTTTAGGTGATGTGATGCTGATATCTGGGTACCAAAGTTCTATATTGCAGTAATTCAACCCTGCCTAATCAAGGAGTGGTGGAACACAGCAAAGAGCTGGTGGCCCTGAGCTGGGATTTGGCCAGTTTCCTCACACTTCCCCTGCCTCAAATGGTGGGTTTTTTCCTTTTGGGGGAACTAGAGGCCTCCATGGGAATGGCTGTTCCTTACCCTGAATCCTCCAGCTTCTGAGTATCTAGTCTGGTCAAGGGATTCAGTCATGCCAGGGATGGGATTCCTGCCCTTCATCCCTAGAGATTATTCCATCAATATATCTCCTTGCTGTGGCATTAGCCTCATGAACAGACAGTCTTTGGTTTTGCTCAAGGATATCTCATGTCTCTACTCTTTGGATCACTCACAGGTCTGGTTTTGAGTGCTCAAACCTCGCTGTTATTTTCTTATTTGGTGGTGGCCGGCCAAGCTGAACAGATTTAATTCCTTTCCTTCATGTTACTTCATTCAAGTCTTTTCTGCATATCCCATCTGAGATAGTGACATTTTCCTGTGACTTGAAAGCACAGAAAGACAGCCAGTGATCACAGCTACCAAAATCACGGGCAGACTCATCCTGTCTGTAAAACACACAATCTTACTGGGCTGGTTCCCCAGAAAGATCCATCAAGGCCTTCTCTGCCACCACAACACCCTCACAGGCTGCATTCTTTCTTTTCTCCAAGCACCTATCAGCACTGCAGGGGATGCCTGCAGATTCCATGAAGGAATAAAACAAGGATGAAAATACCTGTTCCCCATCTGCACTCCAGCCTGTTACAGCACCCATGCTGCAGTGCAGCACACTGTGACACTGCTTGCTGAGCTACTGCATTGCCATCTGTGCCTGCCTCAGGGCATCAGCAGGCATGGGGCCCTGCCAACTGCATTTGACCCAAATTTCTTAACACCCAGACTGCTGGGAGTCAGGCCCCTTCAGAGCAGCATTCCCACAGGGTGCTGTCCGAAGGGCATACTTTGGCATATTTTCACACAGAGTTTTGCTCCTCAGCTTGTTCATGCAGATAAATCCTAGGGTAACTGCAGACTTTGTTTGGAAGCTGGTAGTATCTCATGTAAAAAAATAAAAATTTCTTTTTTATCCAGAACCTGACAGACTACAGCAGCACCTGGGAGTGATGGTAATGTAACAAACACTTCATTTATTACTGTATTTATTATCAGAGACCTTTTCACTCTACTGAGCAGCTTGCACTACAGCTGTATTAGCATGCTACAGAGGAGAATAGGTAGATTGAGATTTATATTCATAAATAGCTGCTGAAAATCTTGTGAAGACTCTTACCTGAAAAGAAAGAATTTTTTCTCTCTCCTCAAAGTAAGAAGGGACAGCGTGAGCTGATCTGTAACTTTCAAGTGCTTGGAAAACTCGTGGCAGCAAAATAAAGTCTGAGGAGCCCACGGGTGAATTGGTGTCACCTCCAGTACTGCCTCCAGATGCCAAGCAAATGCCAGAGGGCAACAGGCTGTGTGTCCTGAGGCCAGGCACAACAGGGAGCGGCAGAGAACTGGGAGGAGAGCTGCAGTGCAGGGGCGTGGCTGTGTAGGATGCAAAGGCTCAGGCATCAGACAGAAGAGAGACCATGACATACAGCCAAAATGTCAACAGAGATCTCAAGCGTGTTTACATCTGTGGGGAAATCCTGGCAAGAGGAATTCAGCCAAACAGCAGATTTGTATCAGCTGACTGTACTGCTGGGCAGGAGACACAAAACCTGCACCCTCTGATCTAATTTTTGTGAGCACAGATTTCAAGGAATGTGCAAGCTATTCAGCCAGCAGTTCTCTTCTTCCTCTGGTGTGATCCCAGACACGAGCTCTTCCCTCCATCCATTTCCCAGCACATTAGGATGCCACAGCTGGACTTCATCAGTGCCCCAGCAGGCGCTGCCCTGCTGATAGAGAGCAGCGAGGTCTCCTGCCTGATGCCCAGGCACCAGCTTCATGCAATACCCACCCTTTCGAGGCATGCCTGGAAACACTTCCCTGGCTGTGCTGTGTTTTCAGAGACTACCAGCCCTTTATTGCTACTTACTCCAGGAATGTGGCCAGGGTCTCCTCTGGCCAGCCTGTGAGGCGATATCTCCGATACAAAAACACCACAAGCCCCACAGGTGGGACCTGCCTGCCGAGCAGCGTCCTCTCTGCTGAGCCGGGCTACCCTGCGGCAAGTACCATTCTCTGAAGCAATTTGTCTTCGGACCAGAACGGGGCAGCACAGCCCAGACAAACCCGGGCAGAGAATGCGTGTATGCCGGCTGAGCAGCATTTCTGTGAAACCCCCACACATCCAGCGAAAATCAGTCTTCAGCGCTGCTAGAGACACTGAGGGTGGCTGCAGAGCCCTGCCAGTTGTGTAGGCAATTGTTGAAGAGTCTCACTTTGTTAAACATGGATCTGGAAGCCTTCCCAGACTATGCATCTGCCCCTCCAATTCGAGACCTAAGAGGCTGTAGCTGAATGGGGAGATAATGAGTAAATACATTCCCAGCGCCTGCTTTGGGAGCGGAATTAATGAACCATCATCTTTTTCTCTTGAGCTCTGAGTGGTCTCTACCTCCCACTTCTCCCCTCCAAAAGCGGGCTGCTGGGCAGATGTCAGACACCAGAAAACACGGACACCTGTGTGCCAGATGTGCAGCCTCGCGAGCACATGAGCCCCCTGAGCTTTTTCCAGAGCTTACTGCAGCGTCCCTCCCCGGGCTCAGGCAGAGCAGGCGCTGCACAACTAACAGATGACACGATGCCGCCTCCTCCTCCTCCTCCTCCTCCTTCTCCTCCTCCTCCTTCTTCTCCTCCTTCTCCCGGGCTTCTGAGCACTTCCCTTGCAGCAGGGACAGAAGGCAGCTGCGAAAGCACAGGCAGAGGGGTGACGTCGCTCCGAGGGCTGCGCTGCAGTGGCAGAACTTGGGGCCACACCAGGCAGTCGGTGCAATGCCTGCAGACCTAAGCGACACCCCTTTGGGCACCAGATAAATGGGTTGCCCAGCCTCTGGGCACTGTTTGCCCACAAATGATGTTGGAAGCCCAATTCATTTACAATACCATCACTTCTTGATATGAAAGAATAGTCTAGATAATGGCAAGAGGAGCTAGCACAAAATGTGACATGTGGTGAAAAGGGAAGGCTCTAGGCTAAGTTGTTCTAATGAGAGGCTGTCAGTGGTTGAAAGAGCTTAGTCAAGTGTAGGACACTATTCAAGCAGAGGAAGAATTTCTGTATTATGCAGCACTTGAGATAGGAGTCTGAGCAAAAATGAGAGGGAGAGAGAGAGAGAGAGAGAGAGAGAGAGAGAGGGGGAGGCTGGCCGACAGGGAAAGGAGGAGGGGGTGGCACAAAGGAACAGAAGTGCTTTCTTCAGCTCAAAATACCCTCGGTCTCTCCTAGTTCATGGAGATAACAAACATGCTACTTCTGAGAAAGATGTTTCTCAAGGGCTTAAGTGTAAGATCCTGGTTCTCTGTGGAGAAAACACGAGCAGCATGTGGGGGATGGTGTGTTCCCATGAAAAGTGTCTGCGAGTCAGAAAGCCTGATGGATCTGCTCTGAATTTTGATGCTGCTCCTATGTCCTCTCTGTTTCTCCTTCTGGAAAACAGAGGCAGTGATGTTGCCCTTTTTCTCTAAGGCAGCCTGAGGGTGGTATTTTGGCAGTGCTGCAGAATTTTCCAGAGCGGCAATGTCCGCAGGGTGCTGGCAGTGTCCCTGCTCCTGCACGGCCAGGGGGACACCGTGCACCTTGTAGAGGTTGCAGTTCTCTGGCATGGGGAACTGCAGGACACAGCTTACCCAGGGAAAGGGCTGGTCCCAAGCCAAATCCAAATACTCGCTCCAAGGTTTTTTTTTGCAAGCCTCCAAGGAGACATCCTACTCCTTTTCTTATCCGTGTGCTTCTTAGCCCCTCTGCAATCTATGCCCACCTGCACTTTGGCACCCTGAGGCACCCACTTGCAGCCTGAGCCATTTCTGGGAGGGCTCTGAAGGGACACTTGCCACAGAATGTCCTCATTACGTTTTACTCTCATTTGGCAGGGCAGCGTTTCACTTTAATGTTGCCAAATGTTCACGATTAGGCACGGAGGTGACAGCTCTTGTGAGACAGGCTGCTCACACTGTTCTAGACACTAGTGTCCCTCACCCACCGGGAAGGTAAACACTCATCCTCTGCAGCACCTGGCTGTGTAGGGGAAATATCAGGGCTCAGATACACCAGCAACTCTCTAGGGAGTAGGTAAGCCCCTCAGGTCCACTCACCCCCAGGGAGAGTCTGTGTGTACCCCTAAGAGCATCCTTCCACACAGCTTAAGCTGATCTATCCAATGACAAATCCCACTCCAGCTGCAACAGCGCAGCTGCCTTTGTGCTTGCGAGCTAAGCTGGGTCAGGGAGTTAGACCAGCCAGAAACTATTCACATCTGTGATAAAGACAGTTTATTTAGCTATCAGTGAAAAGTAAGTGGAATGGCATTAAAGCTGCTATTTGCTTAGCAAACAGATACGGCTCATCAGTTGCCATGGATCAGCTGATGCAGAATTATTTGTTACTGCACAGTCGCCTGGCAGTGCCTCTGAAAAGGATGCAGGATAAGGCAGCAGTGGATGACTCCTTGCCCTTGGATTAAGACAAGCTGCAAGTAGTAGCTTCAAAAGCAGTTTGTGTCTCTCACTGCATCCTGGAAGTGATAAAACCTGTGCTGGTCTCATCACCGCAAATGCTGCACCACGCAGGTGATATTCCCACCCCAATCAAGTGCACTGCATTTCTTCCTACACAATTGTGTGGATTTACAGAGCATCTGTAAAGAACTAGATGGAAATGCGGGCCTCTAAACTTGAACTAGCCCAAATAACACTGTTTTTTTTTTTTTCTCCTTCACAGCATGCTTTATATTTGGGCTCCTTGCTTTCCTTGCCTTACCACTGTCCATGACTTTTATAGGTAAGTTGTCAACTAAAGTAAATTGAAAATAGAAACTTCCTGGCACTCTGTGGCAGGTTAACATATCTGGTGGAAGAAAGGAACTGGAAAATTCAGGGTTTCCAACTGTTAAACCCCTGTCTTGGTACTTTAGCTTCAGACAGAATCTCAGCCCACACTCTGTATCAGGAATGAAGGAGTACTTGAATTCTGACCCTGTTTATCTTAAAAACCCCTCCAGTGTGTTTTACCTCAAAACCCAGCTTTGTCTGCGGGAGGAAGCTCAGAATCTGACATATGAGAAGATTTCATTACTCAGGATCCCTCTGTATTAACTACACTGCAAAAAATTATAGAAGCATATTGCTGGAAGGGAAAAAGAGATGTTGTAGGCTGCTATTTGTCCACCTTTTTGAAAGTCAGACCTGGTTTTTGGCTGATCTGCCCTCGAAGGCTGGATTTGTGAGTAGCATTTCAAGATCAAATATTTAAGAAAGGAAAATCCTTTGAGCTGCAGAATTTTATACCTTTTTAAACTGCATAAGGTCCCTCTTTTCTTAAACATCACCTTTCCCTTACCATTAATATAGATCTTTGTTTTTTCTGTAACACTTCATTGCTCCCTTTGAGTCTTTCACATCCTCCATATGGGTTGTGAACCCCACTTGAGAAACATCAGTGGAGACACCAATCCACCTCTGCTTTTAGACAGGCCCATGTGCTCACAGTATCTCTGACAGATGTCTGACTTGCCCTTGCTCAAGGAAATTCCATGGCTTCCCAAGGAGGCTATTTCAACATTTTATTGCTCTCAAAGACAAAATATTTTTCCCCATATCCAACCAGAATCTTTCCTATGGCAAATGAAACAGATTACAGCCTGTCTTGCCCACTGTGGTCACAAAAACATATTGGTCACTGTCCTACTCAAGAGATCCTTTGAATTGTTTGAAGGTTGCTATTATAACCCTGCTCCATCTTGTCTTTTGTTTTCCCAGAGGTCTTAAAAACCTAATTCTTTCATCCTGACCTCACAGGTCACTGTTTCTGTAGCTTTTTTTTTTTTCCATTTTTACCTCCCTCCTTTGACCTCTGTGCAATGTAAGTATTTTTCCTTATTAATAAAAGAATGATGTAACACAGGCCTCCAGCTGAGACCTGAGGAATGAGCAGTGCAGAGTAATTAGCTCCTCTGTTTAACATGCAGGATTTCTGTAAACACACCTCAAGATGAAACATGGTCTCTCTGCACTAACTCATTTCCTCCAATTTAGTTTATGGTGCATTGTAAGCCCAGATGGTTTTTGGCAGTGCTGCTCCCTACCAGACATAGCTCGTTTTTTATTTACCTTGAAGTTTCCTCCCCTACACACAGTGTTTTGCTCTATCAGTTTTTGTCTTGTAGATTTTGAATGCCTTTTTCCAGTGTATCCAGATCACTTTGAATTCAAAGTCCTCAAGAGCCCTTGTCTTTGAGAAGCTGTTCACCTGGTGCCTCGTTCCTCATGAAGCATGGTCCAAAGGAACTCTAGATGCAGGTGCTGAGGGCAAGCTGCATCCCACCTAAACTCAGACTGTGTGCATCCACAGCCAGGCTGAGGTCTGTGTGTTGTCCTTGCAGGCTGTTAAGGGAAATTCCCACACCCTCTCTTAGGTGTCTGCCTTGAGGTGACTTAAGGCAGTTGTGATGCCTGGCCCATTGGCATGGATAGTTATCCAAACCCACATAATAAGTGTTCAGCTGGTGCTATTCCCTTAATCTGGGGCTTTCAAAGCACCACTCATGACTATGGTGGGATTCCAATTAGGATGTCCTAATTAGGAACCAGGGAGTTCTAACGAGGGATTGGGGAGCAATTAGGAAGTAGGGAAATGGACTGAACTGCTACATCTCAACACTTCTGCTCTTATATTTATCCATGACTTAAAATTGCTATTTATCCCTTAAGAAGATTCTAGCTTTAGCTTTTCCCCAGGCTGAATATGCCTGAACTGTGAAATAGGGATGGGAAGGTATAATACAAAATGTGGTATGGTTTCCATACATACTGACATCCTGCCTTCTGGAAATGAATCCAGGTCTGGAATCTGACCACTTGCAAATATAATTTCTCAGGAATATTTCACAGTATCTTTAAGATCAGTGAGAAGTGGAAAGTCTATAGTAAGATATTAGCCTGGAGCTCTGGATATCTCCTGCATCAGATACAGAGCTCTTTTTTCCCCCACAACTTACTGAAATTAACACTATAATGTAGTGTTGTCAGAGGATATTGGTTTCCTGCAGCTCCATATCAGCAAAGGTATTTTTAGGAAAATGAAATGTCAAGGAAAATGCTGATATTTATTTTCCAAGCAAAATCCTATGATTTTCTGATAATATTCTGTTGCCACAATCTCAGAAAAAAACTTGCTGATGTGCCTCCAGTCATTTTGGCTCTTGCTTCCTACAGAGGAAAACTGAGAGATAAAATACTTGTTAAAACTCAGAGATTAATAACAGGCAGCCCTAGTAATAATTACACCCTAATATCATACTCTCTTAAAATTCGATAATGCTGTAAATCACAGTATAATTCAAGATACATGAAAAGGACTCAGCATATTTTCCATGCTGCAGACTTGTGACATCACTTAAGCCATAGACTATTTAGCAGCTTTTTCACTTTTACTGGCAGAGAAGATCCCTTTTTTCACTGAACACTCCAAAGATATAAAGATTTATTTAAATTTTTTTTTAGTTTCCGGGACAGTGAAGGATTACTCTCAATAACCCGTTCTTGTACTTTGTCCAGAGTACCTTTATATACAGAATACCCCAAGGGTAGCTAAATCACATTTGAAAGCTGATGACATGGGTTTTTTTTAATAAGCAGCCTAAATTGCCTCCTGTTCAAATTTAACCCAGTACTACTCCTCACACTCAACACCAAATAATTCCTCAAATCTCAAATGCTCCTGAGAATCGTCTGAAGCCTATTCTCTTACTCTGTGCCTTTACGTGGGAACCAGTTTTGTGCTTTAGCAGTAGTTGTTTACACAATCTTTCCTTGCATTCCAGTCCCTCAGCCAGTCCTCTGATTTGCTGACATGCTTTCTGATAAAATGGTGCCCAAAAGCAATTTCTTCGAGATAAAGTCTCTGCAGCACTAGATCCAAGTGTAAGGCCCACAGTCAGGGCTCGACTGAGGTCTGTGCTAAGTGATGGCAGCTGCAGCCATCCACGAGGAACACCTGAAAATGGCCTGGCATGTTGAGGTCTCTGCCTTCCATTAGGAATAAAGTTGTGTAGTAGGCACCAAAGAGCAGATCAGCCTTGCTATAAGCAGCCCTCCTTTCCTATGGGTGTACTTCAGCCGTTTCAGCTGAGAAGAGTAAAGCAGCTAAAAAGAGACGATGCTGTACTGATTTTCATTCTTCCTGACCCCTCATCTCATGGATAATCATGAGTCACAAGGACACTTGGTAGCAATCCTTTATGGGCCATGCCAGAGCACTGCCCCAAATGGTCCCTTAGAGAAGCTCATATCCTGTTTGCTCACAAGTGCTCTTTCCACTTGCTGGACCCTGTGTCCTGGATCCCATTGCAGTGTTGTTCTGTGGTAGCCAAGAGGTAAAATGTGCAAGTACCTCTGCTTTCCCAAGTCTCCCATCTCTTGTTTTTTCCCCTTTGGATGCTGTTCAGGCTGTGTCTGACCTTGCACAGGTCTTTGGTTCATTCATTTGGACTCCTGTGCTGGTCTATGTTGTGGTCAGGCTCAATTGCTTTTCACTCTGAACCACAGATTGCTCTGGCTTGCAGGGAGCACTGCAGTAGAAGTAGACCTTTGATCTCTCATGGTCCATATATCCCATCTCTAGCAGTTAAAGGAGAACATATCTGTTGCTTATGGGAAAGAATCTGTTGCTTTCCAACAAGTTTTGGTGCTCCCAGATAAACCAAACACGCTGTGTGAGAACTGATTGGCACATTTGCTGATTTCAGTGTAACAAATACCAGTGCCCATCTGTCAACTGTAGGTCCACATTTCCTATTCACACCTTGGGGTGTATTTTTAAAGTTACTACTGTATCACCTGCTTTGACCTACTCTTTTGCTTTCATTATCTGTCTGCAGTATTCTCCTAAAACCTACAGAGTGCTGCTGTCTGTCACTCAAATCCTTCCCAAGACTGACTGATATCATGTTATATATATATATATATATATATATATGAAAGGATTCCATAATAGATTTGTCTGGGAAAGAGAATCGGAGCAGCATGAGAAAAAAAAGAAAGGCATTTTTTCTTGACTTTTTTCCCCCCTCCAATTGAAATCTCAGTTAACACATTGGAAATAGAAATTGCCTAGGTTCCTAAACTGAAATATATTCCCAGTGATCCCTGGCCAGCTGCTTTTGTGGCAGGCTTTTAGATGGCCAAGAACTTTGGAAACCTTGGCAGCAGCTTTCTGATGAATTTGATGTAATTTGTGACAATTTCCCTGCTGCCCACCCCTGTAAAGCTGGGAATCTGATCAGGTCCCAGTGTTACATAGTGGCAAAATGGCCAAAAAATCACAGCTTTGTAATAAGAATGAAAGGGGAGAGAGTCCAATCCATCTAAGTGCAGCCTTTTTCATTTATACAAAGGTTGGTAATAAATGCTTAGTATAGAAGAGTCCAGAGCCCTTACACACAGGGGATCACAAAACTGCAGACCACAAAACACTGTCCCATGTCCTGTGACTAAAGTCAGACCTGTAGCAAGCAACCACAATCCAGAGCACCTGTATTATGCCAGCAAAGAGCGCAGGAGAGGTTCAGGACATGAGCAATGTTATGGACCAGCACTAGCAGTGGATTTGGTGGGCAAATTGACAAGCTAAACAGGATTACAGCTATATAAAAGAAAAACCAAAACAAAACAAAAAAACCCCCTCCAAAACAACCAAAAAAAACTCCACCAAACCAAAACCCACTGGTACTTCTTTCCTAATTCCTCCTATTCAGTGTAGTTCTGAAAATGGAGGAAAGATGTTTCACCTGAGAGATGCTTAGCACTAAGACTTGCACATTCCTTTTGGTATCCTGCAACTAGGTAACCCCAATTATTCAGAGAAAAGTCAGAATATCTCCTTGAAAACTATTTATATAGCAAGAAGAAAACAGAAAATCCTTTCTACCCTGTGCAACTGATCTGTCAAAGCCCTGAAACATGGGATAAATATCAATAAAATTACAGTGTAATGAACTGTTTAAAATTTCTGAAGATGCCATTGGGTAAGAGACTTGGGCAGGGGATTCATCCCAGCTAACTTACAGGTACCTACAGCTGGCTGTCTGGATTCCTTGTACAGCCATGGAGAGACAGAAGTGCTTTCAGGGACCAACTCCACCGACCCATTTCAAATGCCTTTCTTAGGAAAAATGAATTGAATTTTACAAGTGCCTGTTTCTCCCTATTGACTTCAGAGTGTAGAAAACTAGTTCACATATGGATGCCTGCATTGCAGACATCTATATTTGGACAGATGAGTTTCACTGCCACAGACCTGTATCACAAGCTTCAGTCTCTACTGCCAGCAACATCCTCACACAGCCATACACTCTCTTCCCTAAAACTTACCCAACTTTCTCTTTCTTGCAGTAGATTTGAGGGTTGCCAGGGTCCTCAGCTCCATAACAACCAATTCTTTTATCCTTCAGCAACCCAAACAGCTTGGAAACTTGAGCTTCTACAGCTCCCTATCAGCTGCCTGGAAAGCAAAAACAGTTCCAGGTGCACCCACGGGTATTGGCTCCCAAGCTTCCAGGCATCTGACTCAGGAACATGCCATACTTATAGGAACTAATGAGCAGGAAAATCCTGGGGGAAGTTTATCAGAATTCCTTCTTTTTGTAGTTTTGATTTTCAGCGAATTTTCTACCACTGATTTCCTGTCCAGCTCAGTCAATGGTTCATTTAACAAAGAGCTGTGGCTGAAGCTAATGACCCTATATGTGGCTGCAATTAGTATTGCCAGAAAATAGTAATGCTGGTTTTGCCTTTGCTATCTCTCTTCCTTCTCTTGCCTTTTGCTTGTTCATGGCCCTCACTCCTCTAGTGGGAGGTGCAGCCCTCTTTTAATTCAGCCCCCCTTTCAACAGACACAGGATACAAGTCTTGGGTGTAAGCAAGACATTTCACTTACAGCATCTATAATTCTTGCTGTACAGCTTGTTGCACTATCTGGTCACTTGAGATAACAAGCATCCATTTTTGCCATTCAGGAATGAAGTTTTTGGAAGACTGCCCAGTTCAGCCACTGATTCCCTTATATCTGTTGGTGGGTGGCGTGATTGGCAGCTTAAAGGTAATGTGCCTTCTGTGTGTGAAAAATATTTTGTGTGACTCGACTCTGACTTGCTAGTTAAGACATGGTGATAGCTCCACACAGCCACATGCACCCAGTGCTGGAGCGCTACAGGATCAGGCTGTGCTTGTTCCAGCACCAAAAGCACCTGTCAGTCAAGTGAGCTGCTAATGAGCTCAGCATTGTCCCACACATTGTGGTGTGACTTTCTCCTGCACCACAGCATCTGTGCTACCATCCCTACTGAGGGAAATGACTACTTAACATGGATGCCTGTGGTAAATGGGGTCCTTTTTCCACAAGCAATCCTCCAAGCATGTCAAATCTTTCTCCATTATTTTCATACAGATAGGACAAAAAGCTAAGTTACTCTCCTTGCTTTGGGAGTACTACAAAACCACTTGTGTTTGTACATAGTCCTTCACAAGTTCAATTTACTCCCACTCTGACCTGGCCAGAAGTAAATGACTGCAGCAGAATCACTTCCTGACAAAGTAAATATATCCTTGCAACACAGCAAGGCTTATTAATCTAGATGCACCATTTTCTAACCACAGCTATCTGTCTTCTAGTGGACTGTGCTCACTTCTATCTTTGCTGAGCCCCAGTCTGGCAGTTTGACAAGTAGAGGCACCCTCATACCTGTGATAAACCCTGGTCACTATAAAGCTATATAACTCTGTATAGACTCTAAAGGATCCACCCTGTTCTAACAGTCCTTTGCAGATGGTGTTAACTGGCTTTTAGGGAGCATGAAGAGCCTTACCACAACAATTCTAGCCATTTTCTTTGCCAGGACTGAAAGAAAGAGGAAAGAATCCTCCTCTACAGGTCTCTGCATTCACTGCACTCTTTCAAAGTGGTAACCCAACAAAACCACAGTACATCACTGGGATATGAATCATGCCCTCCAAGGACCTTTGGTCAGTAAATAAGAAAATGGAAAAAAAAAAAGTGCTTAATCTTGTTACAAGGAATTTGCTGCGTTGTGAGTTCTACTGGCAAATGCTTAGTCATTCAATCACACCAGTGGACTTATCTGTATAATCAAAGGTTCATTTAATAATAGTTTAGAAAATATTAGAGCAGAACTGAAAGGCAATTTTGAGGCTAGTGGACTGAAGCTTTCATAAAAAATGTTGACTTGTTCTTAGCCATTTCTGTTAAAAGTCAGTTTTTCTCACTAAAACTAAGGTGGCAAACGGATCAGTTAATATTGATGCTGACATCAAAAAATGCTTTGAATTTTACTTCAGTTGACAGCAGGACTGCTTACTTTGCAGTTTGGCAATGCATTTGGTCAGAACTTGATTAGCTTCACTCACGTGTTATCTCAGCACTTGGTCTGCAGCCAAATTCAAGTCTCTCACCCGTCTGAACGGTGCCCTCTGTTCTGTTCACTGGACTGCACTGACTTCATCCAGCAGTGCCCTCGCTTGAGCTCTGAAAGTTAAAAGGTCACAGAATGGGTGCAGGATGAAGTCTGAAAGGATGCTGTCCTGTGATGGACATCATATAATAGCAAGTCATTCTAGCCCAGATCTGTGCAGTCTGTAGGCTCCTCATCTATTTCTTTACCACCTCCAGTCTTTTAAAAAGCAATGGTAACTGTTCACCAAGGCAACTGAACCATCCCAGAGCACCCAGAGAGGCCTGCTGAATTCATGCCATGCTGCTCCATAAATGTATGTTCAGCAGCTAGTAACAATGTGAGCAACTGCCAGCAATTTCTTCAATCACGCTTGGCAAGGCAATATCCATAAGAATTAAATGCACTTTCTGTGAACTACTTAAATGCAGTTGAGATCCATAAATCTACCTGGGAGGTCTCTCTGACTGCCTCAAACCCAATACTCATCTGCCATTTAACCCCATTCTCACTGCTGAGCTTGAGAACCTGAGTGCTGAGCTGAAAGCTAAGTGGACTGAAGCACAGCCACAGGCACCCTCATGCAGAAACCTCAGAGCCACTGGCCAGGCAGGTTTATCCCTCCAGTGCCTCATGAGTCTGTGTAAAGCAAATGTTCATATGAAAAGATGATAGTTTGAGCAAGCCTGTTGCTTTGAGTGCTCAGCTGGATGTGAGACATCAGTGGAAACACCATTTTTTTGCCTATGCTGGTGCTCGGACTTTAAACTGTGTTTCTCAAAAACTGGTACCAACATCTGGGCTGGAAAACCAGTTGGTTTTGTGAACAAATATTTAATCATTTATGTATAACCAAACAGTTTTCCAGAGAAGAGAAAGAATAAGAGAAAACTCTGGATTCTCTTGCTAACCTTTTCCTACTGAAAATGGGGCACATGGAATAAAATCTGAGCCTGGAAAAATACACACCCAAACAGGTTTTCCTTGGCCAGTGTTCTGGAGAAAGAAGAGTGTAAAATGAGGGATGCTCTTCTTTTTCATTTCAAGCAGAAAAATGAGCACAGATTATAACTCTGTGAAAGAGAACATGATTGAGAACCCCAGTGAATCTACCTGTGTTCTTTGTATTGTCAAGACTAAATGAGAAATCCAGGCATCACTGATGAGTCCTACTGCATTTCCCTGTATACCAGCCCTTCCTAACCACCAGGCATCATGCTATTTCACATATTTCTCTGCTAGTTTTGACTGAAGGCAGGAATGGGGCAATCTGGGAAAATGGCACTTAATTGAAGAAAATTTGACAACAGTACATTGCAAGTATCTAAAGCAATTTCTTTGAGGTTTAAGTCATAGTCTATATGCTTTATAATTTGATATAAACTGATCCAACTTTATAACCATGGAAAAATAGAGTTAGAAGAGAAAAATCTACCCACTACAAGGCAGGAACTACACTACTTAAGTCATTTAGCAGTTACTGTAATCTGTTCTTAAAAGTCTCCAGCGTGGGAGCTGCTGCCATCTCCCTGCACAATCTGTTCTCATGCCTTTCCATCAGCAATTTTTTTCCAGTGTATGACCCCCACTGGTGAATAACCTACAAGGAAAAAATGCATTATTTTCCAGAACTACCTGCCTCATTTGTGGCTCCTTAGCTTTCTGTTTTCCCACATCCAATTTTATTTGACCCAAACACTGGCAGTGGCCAGAAGGTGTACAGACTCTCTGCAGCCACTTTACTTATTCCCTTTTCTCCCCCAATGCCTCCAGGTGACTCTCCTGCTGTACGACTCAACCAGGATGAGGCAGCTGCTTTCCAAGTCTGTTGTGATTGATGATGATGACGACGATGAGTATCCCTGGAGGCAGAATGCTCACAAGTACTACGTCCACCTAACCCTCAGTCTTTTCCTCTTTCTCTGGTTCATTCTTGGGAACTACTGGGTTTTTTCTGTGTATCTGCCAAATTTCATCCCGCCTTTTCATCAGCCTCAGGATTACTGTGACAAAACTCTGTACATTTTTGCTGTTGGTGTTCTCATTATTAGCCATACTGTTCTGTTTCTCCTTATCTTTTGTAGCTGCTGCATATACTGTTTTTCCAGGCAAAGATTCTCTTCTGAGGAAGACTAAATGCTTCATAAATAAATCTCTAGATGTTTGGGAAAGCGTGTACAACAAAGAACAGGCAATAATTCAACCTTGTGTACATCTTTGTTGTATGATATATATGTGTGATAGCAGTCAACTTCAAGGGGAAATTAAAAAATACAGTGCCATCTGGAAATAGCTATGCTGGAATACAGCATAGTCTATGCAAAAATGCTGCTGCAGGTGCTAGGGTATACTCCTGCTAACTTTTACATCCCATTTTTTAACTCTGGATGTTTTACCAGGAGGGAGCTGTTGCAGATGGCAAACCCCTCTAAAACCAGGTCCCCCTTATGTTGTATATAGCACAGTACATCTTTGCCTATAAAAGTAGCCATGTTGTCCTCTTCACTGGGATCTGAACATCTCCCCATAGTCTTGCTGAGGTTTGCTATTGTCCCTGAGTTACAGATGAGGGAGCTGAGACAAAGGGTTGTATTCAGGCCACTTAGCAAAGCACATGGACTCTGTAGACTCCGATAGTAACCGAGGTGCTCACTAGAGAGCTATTCAGGCCCCTGTCAGACTGGCCAGTAAGCAGCTGTGATAGCAATACCAGCTTGTATAAAAGGCAGCCTGAATATGGCCCTCAGGTCTCTTCTGAACTTGGACTAGGAAGCATCTATATCTAACTTTGAGGCTAAACCAGAATACATCCATATATATCCAATACATCCAAAGTTGAGCCAAGGCTGCTTTGCAAGTCTTTGGCAGAACAAAGAACTGAACTACTGAGTGTCAGATTGGTGCTTCAACAGGGCTCAGCATTCCCCAGTCAGGGGATACACTTTTTCTATAGCAGTAATTTGCCAATACCGCACTAACACAAAGATTACTGTCAAACCGTTGTGATCAAGTTCATAGAAAAACTGATGATGTTACCTTGGTATTTTGAATATAGACCACAACAACAAGACTTGGGTGGGGATGTGAGAATTTCAGGCAGATGTGTTCTCTACAGCAGTTCTCTGGTTGTGGTGTGAATGTACATTTGATTTGTTCATCTTGGTGCTGTACATATGGAAATCTGTACTTAATGGACAGATGTAATGCAAGCAGCTTTTCAGTCAGCAGCAGCAGCTTTAAAAGCACCAGCATGCAGAGAGACAATTTTTTTTTGTGACATGTAATGGAACAACCCCAGAAGTGGTCCTGGTAGATTGTTTTTTCATGTGTTGATGAATGCAGTGTAAAAGTGCTCTTTCTGCTTTTGCTCTTATGCACTTATGTTAATGTGGTCAAAATGGAAGGGCTCCCCTCTAGATGAGCTTGAGGGTGGCCCAAGGCACAGGAAAAGATGTGTGTTTTGTGTATTTTGTCTGTTAAAACCCACACAGCTGAAACTTGTGTTTTAGAGAAACCCAAAAGGGTTATAAAATGCCTGTGAAAGGGTGAAATATGTAAAAGAGCTCAACAATATGCCACAGCTGAACAGGATCTGCTCAACCATCCTTCCTGGGACTGAGTCTGAAAGCAGTGTAACATCTGTAGGAACCACCTGTCTTCAAACAAGAACATTTATCTCACCAGCTATTGTATAGATAAGCCTGCATTTGGTTTACAAGGATTTTAATTCAGGCCCCAAATTTATGAACTGTTTATTTCCAGAGAACTAATCTTAGAAAGAAGGTAGGACAAAGATGAAATAATCTGACATGAGGGCAGCATCAGTGTAGCATTCCTCTGTTCTGCAGCATCCATTCAGGACAGGTCACAGCCAGGCTGCCCCATTCAGAAATCCCTGGAATAGGTATTACTAATCCTGCTGGCTTAGGCCATGCACAGTTTTATGTAGGGAAATGGAACCAGTGGAAATCTTTCCTTTTATTTGTAGGCCTCAGATTGGATCTGGGAAAAATCACTGGCTCTGTTTCCCCGAAGAGCTGCTCCACCACACTCTCCACTGCCCCTCATTTTTCTGAAACATAACTGCTGCCAATGGTGAAATGCTAGAATTCCTCTTTCCCACCACAAACACTGCAATGGCTCATGACTCGGGCTTCAGGATTTCAGGGTTCAGTTCTGAACTGATCTATAGGATTTTACCTTCAGTGGAGAGCATCTTTCATTTGTTAAGAACCCAAAATGTTTAAGAAATTGCCTATCAGAAGGCATAACTCCATCCATCACTCAAATGCAACAGAGCAGCTGTTTATCATTACACAGGAACTTTACCCAGAAGCCTGGAACAGGCGTAAAACCAGAAAATTATACTCAGTTGACAGTGCAAAAGAAATTTAACAAAAAAGTAGCTCCACCCACAGGGCCCCTGTACAAACTTCCCTGTTGGAAAATACTGCTAGAATCACTCTTAATCACCAGGAATTAAGGGCTAATACTCCTGACCTAAGTCTGAATTGATTGTAGTGACCTCACAGCAAGTGATGATGTTCTCCTCTTGGAGCAAATAAGAGGAGATTTTAGTTCAGCCCAGAGGAGAAGAGCTGTAAGGTGACATTGTCTTGTGTTGCTGTGTGCTTTCGTGAGCATGGGTACAGCAGCTCAGCAGATGTGCAATGATTTGCCAAATTTCAGCCACACAACATTAAACCTGAGGCCTATGCCTTATTCATGGAGGCTAAGACTGACTGATTCTCTACAGTCTGACATGGAGGATTAATTCTTCAGATATGAGAACCCAGGGCATCCACTGACATCTTGGGAAAGTGCTGCTAAGTCACTGTGCTAGTGTTCAACACCTGGTTGGTACAAACACAAATTTATAGAGGTTGTATTAATGAGGCAAAATACATTTTTGAAATATTTTGAAGTTATACAAACTGAACGAAACCAAAACACTTTGCTACAACCAAGAGAGAAAAATTCTGCACTGATAGAATCTACCTTTACCAAGTGTACATCAATACGCTATGGCACATACGAGTGAGAGCATCAACACCTCCAAAACAGTTGGAGCCATCAGTTCTGTGCCCAAAGGAATCTAAGCATGCCTTCTGCACTTTCAGCAGACTGGAGTCTTGCAGGACTGGAGCAGGGATACCTGGTTTGGACATGTCATTAGATACACCTGAGTCACAGTGACTCTTCTGACCCACCAGCTGCATAGTTTCTCTCAAATTGCCCCAAGAGCACTCAAATCTAAATGAAAACAGTTTAATTGAAGACACTTTATCTCACTTAGGGGCAAACTATGAACGTGTGTACAGGCCACAGCACCTTAACTTGCAAGCAGCAGCATTTTGAATTGCCACAAAATGATGGTGTCCCAAACAAATGCTCATTTCCTTACAGAAGTAGGTGTGGCACCTCAGCAAACAGCTGTGGAGGAATTAAGTCATTACAGCCCAAAGGTCAAGCAGCTGAAAATACAGTCTACACCTTAAAATGTTTAATTTGAATTTTGCCACTAGACTAAAATTACAAATTGAAAATGTTAATTTTCTTCCCACAGTTATACAAACGTCTACTGAAAAACTGAACAAAATACACCCTTAAGCTAATTATTATGCACTCAACATTGACTACAATGCAGGAAACCAGCTCTGTTTCAGTTATATCAGCTCCCCTTCTTGAGAAGGAAAGATCTATTTCCAGTATTTAAAGGAAAAAATATACATTACTTCAATGGCTAGGATAGCCAGCTCACTGCTGGTTGTGAGTACTACAGAAATCTAGTAATATGAAGACCCAAAGACAATTCTGTCTGCACACACTGACTCTATACACACACATACAAGTGCACTGTCAGGAGCCATGAAATAAGTTACACCTATTACAGTTTATTTTCCACAGTATATTTGTCCTCCCACTACTCCACCTTCTTTAGCAATAGGCATAAGATTCCAAAGCCCTAGAGAGTAGCTTTCCACAGCTATTTTAGAAGCAGCAGACAGACAAGCAACCCTTCACTCCAAATGTTGAACACAGACAGCTCCTACCTGCTGGCCCAAAGAAGAGAGAAAAGAAGAGCATCAGACATACCACAGACCTCATCTTCTCAGGACTGGAAACCAGAACGCTGTGCTGTAAGAGAAGATGATCTCTCTCACAGAGCACTTGCTCTGAGGTTTATGAGGTCCCAAGACATCAGACTTTAAAACTACAAGGTAACTGTGCAGAAAAAAAAAAATAACCTAGAATAGCTTCTGCTTCTTTGTGCCAAGACCTGTTTCAAATGTCCCAGATCCTGAAATAGGAACAGTTGGTGTAAAAGATCCTAAATGCTTTGACTTTACAGGCCAAGGGCTACAAAGATTAAACTGATGGTAACTCATATATACTGTACAACATTTTAAATTAGACCAGTTTCTGTAAGTTATCTTGAATATTTTCTCAGATAATTAATATTCTCCAAATTCTAGTTGGTAGGGACTTTGCATCACAAGGAGGACACTTCTATTTCTACATGTAATACAGAAATGATTGTTACATCAGGACTGCAAATTGAAACTGTTGCTTGGTGGCACAGGTTTCTTCAGGTTCCTGTTCACTGCTGGAGTAGATGCAGATCCCTCAGGTATCAGCCATAGGAAGAAACAAAAAATGTTTTTAGAAAGTATAGTACTTGAGGGAAAATAAAAAAGGCTGGCAAGTGCCACCTAATATTGCATAGTACAAGGAAAGTGCTGAAAAGAACAATGTCATATTGAAAGATTTCTGAACAAATTGTATGGAATTCTGAGAAATCATGTATATGTGTTTGTAACAATGATTTTCTACCAAATGTCTCATTTGAATAAAAATGAGTGTAAGTGCATAAGACTATGTGACTGCAGTCTTAAAATTAAGGTACTTTACATTTACCAGTCATGATAATTTTAATCAAGCCTGCTGCAATTTTGCTGAGATGAATAGTTATATCAGAGACTGATTTCGCCCACAGATTTGAATCTCAGCCATACTGACTCTTCTGTATGATTAGTAATACTCCAGCAAAGGAAGAATCCATTATTCCCTTCCCCATGCTGCAGAACAGCAGCTCAAATGTGAGAGATGAAAACTATGGGCCTGCAAATCACCATACAAGAAAGCTTTCTTTTTACAAGGTCCTCTTGATGCCCAGATGAGTTAGGTACCTGCATGTGGAAGGGAGCATAAAAAAAGATGGAGAGAGACTTTTTACAAGAGCATGTAGTGACAGGATAATGAGAAATGGCTCCAAGCTGAAAGAGAGTTGATTTAGGTTAGATAATAGGGAAAAATTCCTCACTCTAAGAGTAATGAGGCATTGGAACAGGTTGCCCTGAGAAGTTGTGGGTGCCCCATCCCTGGAAGTGTTTAAAGACAAGTCGCATAGAGTGCTGAATAACCTGGTCTTGTGAAATGTGTCCCTGCCCACACCAGGGGGGTTTGAACTACATAATCTTTAATGTCCCTATCAATGATAGCTTATGGATTTGATTGCCAGTCCTTTTGAAAAATATTTAGCCTTTCAGTGTAATATGAAATGAGTACACAGGATGCAAACAGTGGAGAAAAAAGTCCACTATTCAGTCTTTTTCACAAGCTGCTATAGACAACATGTTTTTATTATCACTGTTTACTTTTGTACTACTATTCTACTTCTGCTTCTGGATTTCACAACAGTAGTTCATAACAGACACTATTTATTTTCAGAATGTATCAGAAACAAAGAGTTGCTTTAGTATTTTTTGTGAACCTGTTTGTTTTTTTTAAAAACCTTGTCCAACTTGTCCAGGTGAAATAAGACTTTAGGTAAACAGGTCTGGTGCTTATTTGCATGGATAAATTTCATATATGTCTACAAGTTTTGTTACAACAGCACAGGGACTGCTCGAAGACACAAAACTTCAGACTATTCCTTTGTCATTTGACCCAAACAGCAACCATGTAAGAAGGTGTGTGTGTTCCTCTGGTTGTAGATACCTCTTGGAAGATACATTCTACAAGACAACATCTGCGATTTGGTAACAACTTGGGTGGAATAAAATGCTAATAAGCAGTAAGATTTGCAGAAGAATAAAAAAAGTGTAGCAGGACCCACCTGAGTCAATAAGCCTGTAAGCATTCCTGTCCAACAGCTCATAGCAAGAACAGTAAGATCCAGAAGAAGAGCAGTAAGAAGAAAAACAGGTAGCTGAAGAAAATGTTAGTATAGATAACTGCATTACTACCACAGCCTAGCAACAAACATGTATGCATTCAAGTATATTGTTTACTGTAGGAACATGAAGAATTTTTCAGTCATGGAAATAATAAAATTATCTTTTATTGACTGAAGAAATTATTCTCTAGGATGCATATCAACCATAACATTTCACTTTTATTACTTTGAAAATATTCCTAAGCCATCCTATTATTTTTAAAATAATTATATACCCTTCAGCTTGCATAAATTATTTTATATATAGGAGATTAACTAGGTTAGCAGCAGGTTTAGCTGCTTCCCCCAGCCAATTCTTTCCACTTTGGGAGGATACTAAGCAGATCCTCTCTTCACCAGGACATGCCTGACCCTGGGAAGCCCTGCAGGCTCCCAGAGGTCAAGGCCCTCAGCAGTTTATAAAGCAAACCTATACTTCTGATAAGGCACAGCATGAGATTCCTTTTACTGGCCCCTGAGCAATGAGTAATAGATATGATGACATACTGTCACACTTGTTCCTCAGTAATAAAAGGCTATTTGGTCTGGGGAAAGCCTGACTCTTTGCTGGAAACAAGACTGCTGATGACAGCAGCTGGCAAACTTGGTGATGACTTGGGTACACAACAAAGAAAACACCCTACTGTTCACAAAAACGCAACACAGGCCAGAACTTCCACCCTTCCCTGCACTCAGGATGAGCAGCTTTTGCTCTCTCACCCTGCTACTAGCATAAGCACTTCAGACACGTCCCTGAGACCTCAGGGACTTCATGTTCTTCTTCAACCACTCACCAAACCCTCTCCTTCATCCAGACAACAGGACAAGGTCAACTGCCTCTCCCCAGGCTGCTGACAGCTCTTGATTGCTATTACACTGACTGGGGCTGTGCCAAGTTTCTAAAGCAGAATCTTCAAGTGTTCTACAGAGCTGAGGCCAGCATGGTAAAAACAGGGTGTGGAGCAGCTCCCACCACAGTGGCTTGCACACAATTGCCACTTCCTTTGGAAACCTGGCCCCCAATTAGAGATGCAGGTGCTTTCCTGCAAACCTGGCTCTTAAAGCCTGTGCCTGTTCCCACTGCAATCAGTGGTAACTGAATCAGTTCTGATTGATTTAATAGGGGCAGGCACAGAGACTTAATTAGAAAATTAGTAACTGCAAGGAAAGGAGGGAATGCCCAACAGCCCGCCAGATCCCTGGAAGGAAGCAAAGGAGCCAGTTGTCCTTAAGACCCAACTTTTTAGCATCTCACCAAAAAAAAAAAAAAGGAGAAAAAGGATAATAAAAGAGATTGGCAAAATGGCCTTGAAGCTGTTTTAAACATCTTGTATAATATATAATTGCTTTTCAGCTCTTGAGCACTCTACTTTTAGATCTGTCCCCTGGGAAGAAAATATGAAACACACTGAAATGCACAGCCCTTAACAGCAATCAGCATTTTCAACTTTCCTTTGTGCTAGAAGTAATTAAAACTTTGCTTAAAACTTCTTGCTATTTGACAGGTACAAAGACAAATCAAGTCTACGGTATGTTTTTCATGTTAGCCCAGCTGAGTGCCAGAGAGGTATTTTTCACCAGCTCCTGTGTTTTAAGAAAATTGAGATCCTCAACTCATTACTCCATGAAAAATCCTAATGTCTGGAGGCTCACAGCCACAACACTCCAGAATTTTTATGTTTTTGGAGGATTACCTGCAGTCATGGAGGGCTTGCATAACAGGCTTGGGGGCTATTTGTACACTGGCAAATGCATGCAGCAGAACACAGGACCACCAGGGCCAAGCCAAGCTGTGCAGTGTTAGCCCTGGTGCATCCCCATCTGTGTTTGGGAAAAAAACACCCTTTGAGCAAACTATTCACAATGACATTTGAGCTTGTTTTGGACAGAAGCATCTGCTTAATACCTACTGTGACCTGGGCATCAACAATCTTTACCTGTGGGCAATAAGAAGATCAAGGACTGGGAATATGCAATGGAGCACTTGATAGCATAGAGATATAGGGTAAGAATTAACTTGGATATGTTTTATCAGGGATAAACACTGAGTTGTGTTTATTAGCCTGGGTGAAGCCATTTTGTTCTGTCCTCAAATGAGGGAAATATTAGGAGCTCAAGAGTCTCTAGCTCTCCCACTTTCAGCTCTGTATGACACAAATATACCAGTTGCTGGCTCTGATAGGGGTCTGAGATGTAGGATGCCAATCCAAGAGAAAAAGGACTTTGTCTAAAAAAAATCCCTCATGTTCAGAGCAGCATCCTGTTGGAATTAATTGCTAAGCTACCAGCAGTCAAGAATGAAACCAGAAGACACAACTTTTTGAATTTCCAAAGCTCCAGAATAGGTTTTAATTCAGTTAACAAGATGTATCAACCTAGAATTCAGTACAGAAGGCAAGATATGCGGTCAAAACTTTTGAAGTGGGCAGAAATTTTGCCCGTGAGAATACGGAGATGCAGGTGCTTCATTAGCAGCACCCAGCTCTTGGCAAAATTACATCTTGCCTTTCTACTGTACAACCCTTCATCACTGTGATGGCAGGGTTAGCAGAGAGCACTTACACAATCTGTACAGCCTCCTGCCTCTGGAAAAACAGTACAGAAGCAAAACACCACAGGGGATGAAATGAGGCAACAGAAACATCTAGGTGGTGTTAGGACAGTGTGCAACAGCTTGCTTTTGATGTGAAGGTTGGACTTGATGATCTTGGAGGTCTTTCCTAACCTTAATGATTGATTCTATGAGGCTGCTCAGACAGAGAGTGCTGTGACAGTTCATTTCTGGGTGCAAGCTTAGCCCCTCAGTACAGAAAAAGCAAGTGTTTCTAAGCAGAAATCTCACAGCTGAATGCGCTCAGGGATTGGTGCACTCTGGAAAGGGCATAATTTCTGGGCATTTACAAAATGTCCTTAAACCACCATTTGTTAGAAGGGTACAGCTAACATTGCAGTAGGGGCGTTGCAGTATCTATGTAATATTCTCTGAGAAAATTGTGTATGTACCAGGATGACACTGGTAGCCAACATTACATTCAAACATCTTCTGTAATCTCAGTATGAGTAATATGCTGTAATTGCCCATTACTGCTTAACCCCCAAAATATTATGAGCTGCTCCCATTCTCCACCTGCCATAATCTTTTTTTGTGTCTGACTCATGGACAGCTTCTGCCAGGCATATTCACATTGGTTAGCACCTCAGGGCTGCATCAGCCAGCATCCTGCTGATCACAGTCCAAATGGTTCAACCTGTGAGGAATTCTGTGTATCTGCATGCACCCCATTTACTTTCAGAGGCTGGCAGACTGCAGGGATGAACTTCCCAATTTATGAGAACACAGGCTGGAACTACAAACAAAACACATCAGAGCCATCATCCTATTTTGCTTGTACTAAGCCATAATCACAGTTCTTAAGAAATAAATAGGGTAAACACAGAAATGACAAGGGAATACTGTCTTACTGTATTTAAATTTTTTAATAGAGTCTTTCAATTGTTTTAAGAACGAGCATTTTTAGATTTCATGAAAAGGTACAACATGTAGCTGGATGGCCTCTGCATGGAAGAAAATATCACTGTTAAAATGTGTCTCTTTGCCCTCTAGAAATTGTTACTTCACATATAATGTGCAGTACAAGCAGACAGAGGTGAGTTCAAAAGTTGTAACTTCGTGGTGGGAAGTGCCTTTTGTATGAGCCTAATACTCACATATCATGCTGAGAAAGTGGAAGACTTTAGTACAAGGCCTTTGCCAGAGCAAAGAGATTTGAAGATTTAGAAAAAGAAGTATCAGGATATAATACAGGATCAAAAAAAGAGAGAACATTCCCATTTCTCCACTATCTGTGTTATTGAAATCAGGTAACTTAAGCTCTTGAAAACTTAGCCAGGGTTCCCAAAGGAGCTTCTCTGCATGTGGTCCTGCACACCCTATAAAATATGTGAATTTATCCAACCTGCACACAGAACTTTCTAAGCACATAGACCTTTTGCATAATTATACTTTTAATTATACCTATAATGACAATTTCCTTATTGCTGATGTGGGCTATCCAGATGCAGCTTCAAGTGCTTCTCCTGCGCTTCATAGGTCCAAAGAACATAAACAGAAAACACTTTGAATTTCACTCCCCTTAGTGCAACAGCCACTCGTGTATCCTTTCCTTAGTGGAATACTTCACTAGTGAAGTAGGAGCTAGGTATTTAATGGATTTGTTATGTAAAACGCTACTTCACGTGGCACGGCATCATTTTTCATATTTCTCGGGGAGCATGCCTTTGGCAGCTTTCCAGGGCAGAGGACGCAGGCCTGTTCCTCATTCCCAAAACACAACAGCCTAGCTGCAGTCCCACCCTAGCCGGCAGCAGCATCTACCCCAAGCTGGAGCCCTGGGAAATTCTCCATCCTTCATCCACCACCACCTTCGCCAGGCACAGCCGCCTGCAGCGAGGCAGGCGCTGGCGACAGCTATCCTTCATGGCTAATAGAGAAGAAAACAGAAAGGATAAGAAGAACCAGCCCACGAACTGCTGCTAAGGAGGAAGCTAGCAGTACTACCACCCCCCACCACTGTCACACTCGCTGCGCTACCTCGCACTCTCCCTTTAGCGCGGCCGGGCCGGGCCGAGGGGGGCCGCCCCTCAGCCCTTACCTAACGCGGCCGGGCCAGGCCAAGCGGAGCCGCCCCTCAGCCCTTATCTAACGCGGCCAGGCTGGCCGGGAGCTTTATGTAAGGGCAGAGGCGGGGCTGGCCCGGCTGTGGGGGCGGTGGCAACAGCAGCAGCGCCATGTCCTGGTACCGCAACACCGTGTGGTTCGTGAAGGGGCTGCGGGAGTACACGAGGTATGGGCGGCGGCCGCCCGGGAGGCGGCGTGGGGCGGGCTCAGCGCCCGGGCTGGGCTGTTCTTGTCTGTCTGCGGCGAGACCGTGCCTATGTGGTGTTTTATGGATGGCTGCCCGCCCCCGCCAAGGCGGGCGGATTCCAGCCCCGCTCGGTGAGGGCCGCCTGGCCCTGCCCTGCCCTCCCGCCCTGGGGCTCCGGCCGCCCCCCGAGGGTCGAGGTCGGGGCTGGGTGGGCTGGAGCGGCCAAACGCCATCGCGAGTTGTCGCTTTCATTCCAGAGCACTGGAGTAGGCTGCCCGGGGAAGTGATACAGACACCATCCCTGGAAGTCTTGAAAACAACCTCTGGATACGGCACTTGAGGCCGTGGGTGAATGTGGGTTGATGGTTGGATTTGATGATCTTAAGGATTTTTTTCCAACCTTAATGATTCTGTGATACATTGCTGTTTGCAGTGTCACTGGTATTCATGGCCTGCCCCATGGGTACAGAGAGTAAATAGGGCAATTACTGGATGCTGAGCTGTGAAAGTGCTTTTCAACCCACACATGTGTTTGTTTTGGAAGGGCTCACTTCTAGGTTCTCACAGGTGTCTCTTGATTTGTTCAGAGGTGGTTACGAGTCTGCTTCCAAGCGCTTCAACCCAAGTGATGTGGAGGTGGATGTAGATGGAAGATCCTTCCTGGTCACTGGTGCAAACAGTGGCATTGGCAAGGCCACAGCAAAGGAGATAGCGAGGAGAGGTGAGCAGGGCTGCTGTGGAGCTCCCAGGAGGCTTACAGAGAAGATGGAAGGCAGCAGGTTTGGCCTTCCAGCACTTACACACAAACACAAATCCCTGGGATGTGGCATCATTTCACAGGGGTCTTAGCGTGGGTTAGAGGTTTAAGCCCAATCAGTGCAGTGAAAACTGGGATAAGGAAACCAAATTAGCAGAGAGGAGCTGCAAATTGTTTTCAAGTGCATGTTTACCAAAACTATCTGTGTTATACTGGCATCTGAGAATGTTGGTGACAGATCAGTATCTGTTTAAGGTTAATTCGGTACAAGTAGCAGTCTGGCTGAATTTGAACTGAGGAATCTGCAAATCTGTCATATGATGAAAGAAAACAATTGTCTTTACAAAAATGAGATGGAAGGGCATAAAAAACCCTCATGTAGCTGTTCTTGATCTTAATGATAATACCCTGGAGTTTGTGCCCTTTGGCTGATTACATGTAATTATGTTTTTATGTTGCTGTCTGTACACAAGGACATGGTGTAAACTGGGCCTAGCTGCTGCTGAAGGATAAACCTAATCCCTTACAGAGTTGACAAAGTAATTCCTGTTGTGCAAGAGTGACAGGAGTTTTGGCATGTAGAATGAAGGGGAGGAGCTTGTGGCTCTTTTCTCTCTTTGTTCTGCTTAGGTTTTATAACCATCTTATGAAGGAAAGTGGCAACTCAGTTAAACAAAACTAATTCAAAACTGTTAGCATCAAAGACTCTTTGAGTTTAAGATCTACATCAGTGCCAACATGTGATTGATTTCAGATTCCCACCACTGCTATTGTACATAATCACTTTATGTAAGTACTGCTTTGTCAGGTGACTGTTCTGCTCACAAATGGATATCTCTACCAGGTTTTGCAAGCTGGAAAGCTGGCTGGATCTCTCTGGGATTAGTTCACCATGTTTAGCAGAACAACCTTGGGCTCAGACTGCATGTCTGATCTGTTGCATGGGCATTGCTGTTCACATGAAGTTAAAATGACTTCCCAGTCCCATCCTTGAACATTTCACTTTCAAATTCAGTGTCAGCTGTTGGGGCTCAGGCTTCTAGTTGAATCTCTTCAAGTACTCCATGACAAGTGAATAAGGAATTCTGACTCAGCAGAGGAATAATCAGGCTCTGTTGGCTTTACCTTCAAGCACTCAGATATTTCTAACTGATAATTGCTAAAGTCTGAGTTCAGATTTTCTCTGAATTGGTGTCTTATGGATATTTGGATTTGGGCTTTCCTCTATGTCTTGTGAACTGCACTTCCAGCTTGATACAGTCTTCTCCCAACTACTCTGACTATTCCCATGTGTTGCGTTCAAACAGTTTCAATCTTTACCAAAGAAAATACATTTAAATTCATTTCCTAATGTGTCAGTCACACCTAAACTTCCCCCATCTCCTGGTGCTCAGTGGAAAAATCTCTCCTGTGGACAAAAGGTTTCATTATCAGACCGCAGGCTGGGCTGTGCAGTGTGTGACTGTATTATCCAAAGGTAGACTTGGTGTTCTGCATTTGGGTTCTGGGCACTAAAAAACGTGACCCGACACAGTTGTTGTTTCTATTATGGATTAATTATGTTTCTATTAGGGATTAATTCCTTGAGCTTTCTAGAGGTGGACTGCTAGCAATCCCTAAAACACCTTTAAAAACAGGCAAAAGTAAGGAGTATAGGTATTCCTAGGACTGAAATTAACACATAGCTTGTAACAATCAGAGAATATGTGAAGAAAAAAAACAAAACCATTGCCTAGTTGTAGTTTTGTCTTGTGTTTGAAGGCTTTCTTTAATACGATTAAGTGATGAGATTGTGGTAAGTATCCAGGTCTCTGAGAAGAGCCTTGCCTTGTGTCTTCCTTTCATGGAAAAACTGGTTGGAAGAGACCTCTGGAGGTCACCTTGTCCAGCATCTCGCTTGGAGCAGGACTGTTGGCAACGGTAGATTGAACCAGTCGTTGCTGTGTTTTGCTGCTTGATACCCACAAGGATGCAAATTATGCATCCTCTTGAGAAAGCCTGCCTATTGAGGAGAAACCTTCTGAAAATTATTTTTCTGATGAGAAATAATTCAGATGACCTGAGCCTCCCAAGCTGCAATTGAGGCCATAGACCTTGTCTTATCTCCCACTGTTGAGAATTCTGATATCTGGCACTTTTATTTCCTTTCTGCAGAGCAATTCTAGTCACTTGTATTGTTCAAGCTCTTTACTGAACTTCCTAAAACATATATTAAAAAAAAAAAATCTATGGTGCAGATGCCTTAGCTCCAATTTCCCATTTAGCTCTGGTATTTCATCCACTAAGCATGATGTACAGACTTGACAGAAATGGCTTGAGCACAGAACTTAGAGTGCAGTGGCCCTTTCCTTGCGCGTGATGACCCTGCCTACCTTCACAGGAACAAAAGCCAAGCAGAAATATTCCACTGTTTTTCTTCTATCCAATATCTCACCTAATTAAAATGCTGATGTCTCACCCAAATGCAGTTAGTAATTAATTATCAAATGCTTTTCTTGTTGCAATCCACCAGGTGGCACAGTTCATCTGGTTTGCCGAAATAAGGAACGGGCTGAAGTTGCCAAAGAGGAAATAGTGACAGAAACGGGCAATCAGGTGAGTTGTTTTTTAGTCTTTTGTTTACTTTTAGAAAGGTTGTTCATATTAAAGACCCCAGAGGCCATGAGATACTCTTCCAACATCTTGATGTTGTGTTTTTAATAGTATTTTCATACAGACACGGAAACATCTAGCAGTTTATAATTCAAATGATTTGAAGTGATTAACTTCAAACCATTTGAATCACCTAACTTCATTAGGTGATGTATTCTGTGATTAGTAACATCATCAGCAGCATGCTGTTTTATTTAATGTTTGTTTGTTGATTTGCTTTTTGATGTCCTACTTACTATTCCTAACTATGTGTCTCAGGCTTTTAAAAGTTAATGCATTGCAACACTCTTGCAACAACATTTATGAGTCTACAGCATTGGAGCTGAAGGTTTTATGTGTCTGAATAACATGCTCTTGATTTGCTAAGGTTGGCTGCTCTGTGAAGTCCTGTGTGTGGTACTAATTCCATGCTCTACATGCCTTTTCATTTCCTTTTCTTATAATACCTCTTCCTTCCCTCTGTAGCACATTCTTTTTGTTTCTGAATATATCACTGTACAGTACACCTCTATATCTGTCACTGTTGCTTTCATTAATTGTTCAGGAGGGCGTGCTTATGGAGTTCACTAGTCATTATCTTTCTTACTTGGTGCCCTGGTTTTGGCTGGGATAGAGTTAATTTCCCTTCCAGCAGTTCCACTGGTGCTATGCTTTGGATTTGTGACCAAACCAGCGTAGACAACCCACAATTTAGTTATTGCTGAATGATGCTCACGCAGCATCAAAGCCTATTCTTATTCTCACACTGCCCCACCAGGTGAGCAGGCTGGGGTGCACAAGAAGATGGGAGGGGACACACTGGGACAGCTGACTCCAGCTGACCCAAGGGACTCCTCAGACCATATGACATCTTGCTCAGCAGTAAAAGCTGGGAGGAAGAAGGAGCAAAAGGAGGCATTCACAGATCTGGTATTTGGCTTTCTAAATCACTGTTGCATGGGATGAAGTCCTGCTTTCCTGCAGATTGCAAGATGCCTACCTGATAGAAAGAAATAGTGAATTAATTCCTTGTTTTATTTTTTTTTTTTTGCACACACAGTCTGCTTCACTTATTAATGTCTTTATCTCAGCCCACAAGTTTTGCCTGTTTTGTCCTTGTGATTGTCTCCCCATTTCCACTGGGAATGGAGTGAGTAAATAGGGTTGTATGGGGCTGAACTTCCTACCAGGGTTAACCCACAGCACATGGATGGAGACCTGTCTTTGTTTTAAATAATGACTTGGCTCTGGCTCTTGTATGCTGTATTTTGATTCCAGTAATAGGTTTTGATGTGGATCAAAAATTCTGAAGAGTTTTTCATGGTTAGAGATGCCATATTGACTAAATTTCTGTTCTTTGATTTCAGTTCCCTAGTATGACAACTAGCATTACTCTTCAGTTCTTTAATGGAGGTGAATTAGATCAGTCCTTATGTAGAAATAAACAATTTCCAGCTGTCTATAGCTGTGTAATCCCATGGCTGTTGTAAGGCTGGTGATTATCTGTGTTACCTCCTTCTCTAACTGCAGTCAGGCTGCCTGGGAAGAGATGTGAGTTCGACCTCTGAAGGTTTCTTCATGTTCTGTTTTCTGTCACCTGGTGGAAAAAAACTTGAGGCAAATAATATTTTCCCTCTAAAGGCAGCATAATTACTGCATTCCCACTTTTTGGTAGGCTGCAGACCTGTCATTTCTGTAGTCATGGGGGAGTGCGAGGGCACTGCAGAACTTGTTTGTGACCCTGGGGACAGGGCACTTGTGCAGAGAGCGGCTCTCAGTGAAGTGTTACATGAGCTGTACAAGAGGCCCTGTGGGACACGTGACTGCACTGGGAAGAGCATTTTAATAAGGAGTCCACAAAAATATCCTTCTTTATAAGTGCTCATTCAGAAACAATACAGAGAGATAATAAAATGCTTTATCTGCAACTTGACGGGCTGTATCCAGGCTCAATTTGCTCTTTCTGATAATTTGGATGGAGATCCTGTTATAGTATACACCAAAGATTTTTTTCATCTTCCAGAGGACATGCTGGAGTGCAGTGCTGAAATGGAGTTATTTGGCAGTCACCTGGCCCTAGATCTGGGAACTGGAAAGTTCTCCTAATTTGTTAAAATAGATCAAGTCACAGAGATTAGGTTTGCTTTGAAAATGGCTTTGCTACCATTGAGGACTTTCATAGGAAACAGGTCTGAATATCCCTTTCCTGAGTCAATGTGACAGTCTTCAGCAGATAAGTGTTGATTTAGATCTTTTTCAATCTCTGAAATCCTTTGCAATACTGAACATTTTGCCCAAAAATCTTTACCTCTTCTGTACCATATAATGTATTATGTACCATAATTACCTATTCTGTACCAGATAATGGTATTAGTTTTAAAAGTAGAAAGTTTAAAGAGGTATCCAGCTTGAACCAGTAGAGCAGTGTCAAGATTTTGGTCAGAAATTATTCACAAAATGGATATGGTTGGAAGGGACCCCAGTGGATCATTTGGTCCAATCTCCTTGATCAAGCAGGGTCATCCTAGAGCACATTATTACAATGAGAAAATTCTGACTCAAACTCAACTAAGGAGCTGAAGTCAACTGACTAGAGAGAAAGTCATGTGCTTTTTATCTTCAGGGAAGCAGAATTACAGGCAGGGAATAATGCCATATCATTTCTTCAGCTTCTTCACTTTTCTCGTTTGCTTGTATAATGAGTATTTAAAGAAACAACTTGGAAAGAGAGGAGGCCCTTTAATGATTATTTGTTGTTTTGCAAGAGAACACATCCTCTGCATAATTATTTTAAAACTGCCTTTTCCTGGCATACGTCATAAGACTATCTGTGGTGTCTCTTTGAGACTAAGTGCTGTCTAGGAGAAGAGTAGGAGTTGATGTGCCTTTGTATGCTGTAAATGCCACTCTGCTTGTACTGTGTAGAACACAAATCTGCCAAAAGCAAAAGAATTGTCTGTAGCAAACAGTAAAAGGTTTTTGATGTTTTGGAGGGAGGAATTATTTCTAGCTTTAGCGGTTTAGCAAATGATAACTTTGCTTTATGTCAACCATTTTTTTATTTTTTTTTCCTATTGCATCCACATTGCTGGCCATAGCGTTGCAAAACATTTGCAAGAGAGTTGTGACATGGAGTGACTGACAAGGGTTTAGCAGTTAATGCAGCAGTTAGCATGCAGGGGGATGCAGAAGGCACCCAGCACTGACTGGGACTTTTCCCTGAGCCTGGGGCAGCACATGATGGTGGCTCCATGTGTTGGATTCTGCTGTCCTCAGGGTGCTGAGCTGCGAGGTGATGTGACAGCAGGAGATGAGCAGGCTGCAGAACAACAGGGAATAGGAACAGGAGATTGACAGGGTCTCTACAGAGAGTAGAAGAGCACATTGCATGGAAGGAGGGACAGCTAGAAGCTGCATTTGAATAAGTAGTGGACAGAGACTTCTAAGATGGGGAGGAATTAAAGCTTGTGAATGCTGGCAACAGAAGGCAGCTCCCTCTCTGCCTGCAGATGTGCATTTTATAGGATAGGTGTAGTGCCATGGTAACAGATGAGGAAGAGCAAGCTCTGTCAGGGGAGGTGTTGGAGACAGATGATCCTGAACAGTTGTTGACAGTGGGAGGAAGTCGTGGGTGATGATGGCTGAGGGCTCCTTCCTGTGGGGGATGGAGGCACCCGTCTGCAGTCTTAGCTAGATGACTTGAGAGGTTTGTCACTGGCTGGGAGCTCAGATGTAAGGTACTGCAGAGAGTCTGCTGGGGCTGGTCTGGACCTTGGCCTAGTACCTCTTGTTGCCCAGCCACATGGGCACCCATGACATTGTGAGGGGTAACCTGGAGTTCATTGGGAGTGTTTAGAGAGCCAAGGGCATGGAAGCCCTAGCAGTGGTCTCCTAAATCCACACAGTGAAAGGGAAGGGCTTGGGTAGGAGCATATATGCCCTGCAGATCAACACCTGAATGTTCATCTGGTGCCACTTTGTCCTTAACTTTCATGACTTCTTGGACCTTCTCTGTTAAATGAACTTAGCTGAGGAGCAATGATGTATTAGAGCAAGAGTGTCTTTGCCAGCAGGTTTGTTAAGCCTACTGAGGAGGCTTTAAAGGGGTTTCATTGGTTTGTAGTGACCAAACCCAGAAGAGTAGAGGAGTCATGGGAGCAGTGAGTGTCTAGGGGACAGTGAAATGGAGGAAGCTCTCACAGTTTTCATGAGAAAGTAGCATGTCTGGGACCACATTTCAGATGCTTGTTCATGAGTACACATAGCATAGGAGACACAGGAATCCATGCATGACTGCAGAGCTGTGATCTCACTGGGTTCTCACTAGCATTAGGCAGAAATAGTTGGCATGACTAGAGTGCTGGAGTGGATGTATACCCTTGCTCATTGTACTGGTTTTGGCTGGAAAAACTTAAACACAGACACAAGCCACTGTGAAGAAAATTAAGATTTGTGCTGAACACAGGATTGATAATACAGAGATGCTTTTGCAATTGCTGGGCTTACATAGAGCAAAGTCTTCTACTTTCTGTGTGCCACACTGGAGAAGAAGTTGGGGTTGCATGGGAGGTTGTGAGGAGACACAGCCAGGACAGGTTGACTAACTGACCAAAGGGATATTTCACACCATATGACATCATGCTCAGTATATGAAGCTGGGGGAAGGAAAAAGGAATGGGGAGATATTTGGGGTGGTGGCTTCCCAAATAACTATTATGTATAATGGAGCCTTGCTCTCTGGGAGATGGCTGAACACCTGTCTGTCCATGGGAGGCAGTCAATTAATTCCTTGTAAAAAGCATAAAGTGCCTGGTATTCCCAGGCAGTTTCCCATCCAAGTACTATCCAGGCCCAACCCTGATTAGTTTCTGAGATCAGACAAGATTGGGTGTTCTCAGGGTGGTATGCTCATAGGCTTGGGGTTTTTTTGCTTGTCTGTGGCTTTTGCTTTCCCTATTAATCTATCTTTATCTCAGCCCCCAAGTTCTCTATCTGTTACCCTTCTGATTCTCTCCCTGATCCCTTTGGTGAGATGACTCTGCCTGTGGACAGGAGAGGAGCAATACTCTCCTTAACTTTGACAAGGCTTTTTACATGGTTTGCTATGATATCCTTGTATCCAGTTTGGAGAGATGTGGTTTGAACTGGTGGATGAAAAGTGAGTGGGAAACTGTCCGGATCATGTGGCTTTAAAAGTAACAATCAACAGTACAGAGCTGATCTGTTAATGATTTTTAGTGGATTCCCTCATGAATCAATACAAGGGCAGAATCTGATGACTTCTTTTTAAGAGCACAGGTGACAGAATGAAGTGCAGTCTTTGCCTAGCTGGCTGGAAAGCAGATGGCAGAAAGGGACCTGGGAGTGACAAGTTGTCCCTCTGTGAGCAGTGTCCTGGGCAATGGAGGCCAACCATACCCCAGGCTGTATGAACATGAGTCTAGCCAGCAGGCTGAGGGAAGTGCATCTTCCTCTTGATTAAGCCTTTGTGAAACCAGAGCAGGAGTTCTGTGCCTGGCTTTGGACTCCCTAGGATGAGGAAGTCATCAATGTCCTGGAGTGAGTCCAGCAGAGTGTGACTAGGGAGATGAGACATGTGATGTATGAAGTGACTCTGAGAAGGCTGATTTTGCTCAGTGTTGAGAAGGCTCAGATGGGTCTTGCTGTGTTCTACAGCCATGTGATGGGAGTGTGTAGGGAAGGCACTACCATGCTTCTCTTGGAGGTCTTCAGTGGGAAGACAAGAGGCAGCTGACACAGACTGGAACAGGGACAAAATTCTGAATAGACAGTAGGAAAAATGTTTTCACCATGAGGGTGATCAAATGCTCTGAGCAAGGGGCTCAGACAGACTGGTGAATCTCCATGTTTGCCAAGCAGCCTCCAGAGGTCTCTTCCAACCTAGATTATTCTCTAATGCTGTGACCTTGAACATTTTCTTGGAAAGTTCAGCCAAAGAGAAAGCTGCTAAATTGTTTCAACTGAAATTTTGCACGCTTTGCAATATTTTTCTAGTTCTCTGTTATGCCTGTCTGTCATATATATTTATTTAAGTAGGACTCTCTCTTAATAACTTTGGCATTAAAAATCTGTGTCTCAGAAGCAGCTGAATAATGACTAAACATGTTTTAAGGACTGGAGTTAAATTTTGCAGTTGTGCATGTTAGCCTGTATTAGTTGGCTTCTGGAGACACTATTTTTTTCATACTACTTAAATACCTTTTCACCTAGACAGGCCTAAACAGGATTTCTCTTCACTTCCCCTGTTGATTGTGACTTAGTTTCTTTTCCTTTAGAACATCTTCTTGCATATTGTGGATCTATCTAATCCCAAGGAAATATGGAAGTTTGCTGAAAAATTCCAAAATGAACATAAATTAAATGTGTTGGTAAGTTCACGTACTTTAATCATGTGTGTCTGTCTTGGGAGTGTGTAGCCTATGAATTTGTCTGACAGGTCATGTAGACTTGACAGTTAGGCCCACAATTCTCTCCTTAATTTTTTCTAAATGCTTTTATCAGGAGTCCCCATGGTTTGCTTGCTCTTGTCCCTTCTCAGTTAACATAGATGTGCTACAGAGAAAGAGAAAAGCAGTAATTTTATAGCTGCAACTTTGGTGGCACCATACATTTTCTCTTTGATTTTCATTGCTAATAACATTGTCCCTCTTAAAGCTAGACCTTCTGAAAGATTAAACTTTTGCAAAAACTCCAGAGACTAAAACAGAGCCAGGGAGAGACTAAACAGTTAATCATCATGGTTGGCAAGGGGCTCAGTGCAGTTCCCTCTTTATTTAGCAGTGAAAATTTGCTTGGGGGGCTGAACCACAACCAAGACATCTGGAGCAGCTCCTTTCATGCTTACTAGATGAGGAACATCTGATAAAAAAGAGGAAATAACTTTTGAGGAGTGCCAGTGAACATGCAGGAAGGTGTGTAGGGGCAGATCTTTTTTTGAGGTGGGAAAGAAAAGTCTGAACTCCTGGAAGGTAAGGCAGAGAAACAAATGTGTCAGAGGCTGTGCTAGCTGCACACAGCTTGCAGTCATGTTTTATGTACAAATAAAAGCTACAGTGTGTAGCTTTGTTTTGTAGTGCCAGAAGACAGCAAATTAGCGTGGACTGCTCACATGTGTGGATTTCCTTGTAGATATTTGTGTTGATTGTTCTTGTTTAAAGGAGTTGTTTTGCAGATCAACAATGCAGGATGTATGGTGAATAACAGAGAGTTAACTGAAGATGGACTTGAAAAAAACTTCGCAACAAACACTTTGGGTGAGTATTGAAGGTTTTCTTCTGGAGCATGCTTATTTTGCTTACAGAAGTGTGTTTTTATAGCTGGGTTTGTGAGGTATATATTCCTGCTTAAAGATGGATCATAGCATTGCTATGCCAGGAATAGAGCCAGGAAGGAAAAGAAGAAATATTACAGCTTGTTCGGAGTGTCATTTTTTAATTTCTCCATTTTTCAGTTGTTCTGATATCAGCATCTTTATTTATCATAGCAGAAGTGGAAAATGGCAGGTTGATTCTGAAATTTACTAGGGAACTTAGTTCTGACCATTGCTGCTAATGATGCTCTTTGTAATAATTGTGTGTCTGGGGTTTGGATGGAGCTTGGAACATGTTCAGATGTTTAAAGAGACATTAAAATGTTTGAGTGGGCTTGCAGAGCGTGTTGTGTGTGACAGAGGCACTGTGCAGGAGGCCTGTGCCCTGGACACTCTCAAGCAGGTGCAATCTCTAGTCAAGGGATTGAGCAGCAATGGGCAAGTCTTGTGTGCTCCATGTGAAAGGGGCTTTGTGTGTGAACTGTGTGGCACTGGTGTAATAGGGACAAAGGATGGGAAGTGAGTCAAGAGGGAAAGTGGAGATGTGGAAGGGCAGGGAAAATGGCGAGCCAAGTGGAAGGTTTGCCCCCAGAAGCTGTGGAAAAGAGGTGAGCAAGCAGCCAGCCAGCAGAGAGAAGAGCTGTCTGACACTGGTAATGTCTGTAAGGCTGAAAGCTGCACCTTTTGCAAAGAGACACGTGGTGCTTGCATCAACCCAACAGTCCTGACACTCTTCTCCCTCTGCCTCCGTGCAGGGTAGGTGGATTTCCCAGTCTTCAATATATTCAAAAGTGACACATTAAGGAAGAACTGTGGTGCTTTGTTTCTGTGTTTTCCTCCTGTTCGTCATTATCTGGAATGAGGGTGAGGAAAACCTAGTCTATAAAGATAAGGCATTTATAGAACTAGTATAACCTGGAAACCATTGTTGGTTTTTATTCTTAGCCTTTTTCTTGTATTGGTTCCTTAAATCCTATTTATGTTTGAAAACTAACATTTTAGTATAAATGTCTTGAGCTTCACTGTTATTGTGCATACAGCTCATTTTTTCTGCAAGTCTGAATACATTAAACTGACAATTAAATCAAGTATAAAGGCAGAGATTCATTTGGTTCAGACTTATTCTTCTACTAACATTCTTCTGTTTCTCATGGTCAAAAAATTCAAAAAGAGTTTTATATTGCCATCAAATTTCCCTTGGCTGTGTAAGTACCAGAACTTCTATCCTGAGGGATCTATTCACCTTAAATTAGTTTTTATCCTCTTGTGGTCTTTCAGACAAAAACCCAGCAATGTGCAAAGGTACAGCTCTTCAGCAGAGAAGCAGAGTGAAACAAACACAACAGTCTGAATACAAAAGCATATTTTGGTTTAGTTTCAGACATTGAGGATATTAAGTGCTGAGGAACCATATACTGGTGCATCACTTGAATTATATTTTATCACACAAGTAGAAGCAGCAAATTCTGCTTTTCCAGCTGTAAATCAGCCTTACTAGTGGTATACAGCTGCACAGAGGAAGCTGAATTATAGTTGTAGCAAACTAGGAAAATGCCTGTATTATCTTTAGTGGATGTTACTTAGAGATCTCCGTTATTCGTTCATGTATCACTTGCTGCATGATTGTATAAGAAGTTTAAGGAGGTAAATCATCCTCTGTTGTCCGACTTCTACAGAGTTCAGGCAAGGACTGGGTTGTTTGCTTAGACTGCTTCTCTCTAGACAAAAATAAGGATTAAATTTTGAATCTTTTAGAACTGAGTGGGACTTGGTTGAGCTGGAAGAAGCTGGCAGTGCAACAGGAAGCTTCTGTGCTTGCAGGCCAGACACACATGAAGGACCAAGGCTGCAAACCACAGGATTTTTCTTCAAAGTCAAGGGGATAGGGTAATAAATCATAACTTCTGGAGCTAGAGTAGGAGAAAGCTGTGTGGAGAAAGACCTGTCAGAGTAGGTGCTCTGTCATTTCCCTGAGTACTAGGTGCCTTTGGGTGTGTTTTTCTTGGGAGAAGTTAATTTCTTTCAGTAACTATCTGTGGTTATAGTTCTCAGAGAAAATCCTGGCTAACTTAGATATGGCTGGAATATAGGTTGGCTATAAATTTGCAAATGGTCTGAAAGAGCAAACTAAATTCCCCTCTTTGCTCCAGTAATGCTAAAGACTGAAGGGTGACATGGGCTCAAGGCCCTTGTTTGGAAAATATGCAGTTGTCCCTCACTTGACTAACAAGCTAGAATAATATCAATATCTTTTGCAAATCTTTACATCTAGGGTGTTCCTTCCATGTTTCTTTCACTTTTTTTTCCTACCTTGTAGGATACTTTTCCTATCTCTGGTGTGTGGGTTGTAGTGTGGAGGTGTAGGTTGCGTGGAGTGTGTAGGTTGTAACTATCTCAAAATGCAAGACTGAAATATAACATGCTTTAAATACACACGTCAGTTTTTGAATTTGAGTTTTTTGAATCTGATACAGTGAGTCTGTATCAGATATCTGATTAACATTTCTATAAGCTGTAAAATTGCTCATTTAGGTGTCTGAAATGCTGTGGAGCTTTTAAATCTAGTCTAGGAATGTTTTCCTCTTGACTGATCTGTTAGTACATTTTTGAGCATAACGCATGACAGTGTTCAGTTCTAATTGATGATCTGACTTGTGAAACATATCCTGATCTTTTCTTGGACTACATGGGACAAAAATGACTGCATAAGTCCTCTTGTATGAATATGTACAAAAATAACAGTGGTTAGAATAGAAAGTAAAATTCCCTTAATGTAAAACACAGCTGACTGGCTCATTGAGGGTGGCTACTGAAACAAGAGGTGTGTAGTCCTCTCTGGTACTGTCAGAATATGCAGATGGATGAAGTTCATGAAAATGTAAAATGCAGGTTGACAGTTAAGGCTTTGTATGGTTTATTTAATATTCAAGTTCAAACTGTAAAGTGCTTTGGGCAGGTGGTGGCAGATGCATCTGTGCTGTAGTTCCCTTTTACAGTGAGTCTGAGGCACAAATGCTGCATGGCTTGTTGTGGTTCTGTTGTTGCTGTCAAATGAAACACCTTGCCTTTTTTCCCTGCTAGAGGCTCAAGAACTGTTGTCTGATTGCTGGAGCTCAGTGAATGTAGAGAGCAGAATGGAACACTTAGACTCTAATGTGGGAGCACTGGCTCTGCACAAGTCTGAAATAGCACTTTGCTGATTGAAACACACTTTAAAATAAACCAAATTGAGTGACTCACTGGAGGTAACATGGACAGATTTCCTGCAGACCTGCCAGTCCTGATGGACAGATTTTTTCTCTGTCTTCTAGTTTCTGTGATGTTGCCCTTATATTTCTTGTGGGCTGACCGTGTACTCAGGGTTATACCCAGGAGCTGGGCAGCAACAAGAAATAATTTCTTCTGATGAGTCTCGTAGACTTCTGAGTCAAAACTCTTTTCAAATTTAATTTCATTTTACTTTTTTTAGTATAACTCCCAGCAAAGACTATTAAAGCTGGTGGTATTCAGTCATTTTGAAAAAACCTTCAGCATTTATAAGCAAGTAGAGGCAAAAGCAGCATGTTCCTATTGAAGCAATAGGCATTTAGCTGAAACAGTCCTTTTTCCTCTGTTTTATCGCCTGCCTCACTTTGCTTTTACTCACTATATCTTCCTACTTGACATGGAAAAATGACATATACGTTACTTTTTTATTGCTACTTACCAGGCAAGGGGATGCTAAAACACACTGAGAGATAAATGATGCTCCCAGTATGCATCTTTTCTTCAATCTAATGGGCTCTCATGTTTTAATAATATATAGACATATACTTCCACTCTGTACAAGAAGGGTTAGAGGCAGAGGAAGTAAGATGTTTATCTGTCATAGTGACACTATAGCCCATCTATGGCAAACTGCCTAACCTGGGTGCATGTTTGTCAGTCTCTTCCCTACACATGAACTGTATCTAACTGGTGTTAACTGAATCCAGTGCAGCCTGGTCTTCTGAGTCACTTGGAAGTCAAATAACTTGAATATCAGCTGTCAGTCTGCTGTAAGTTCAGTGCCTGATCTTTGGCAAGACAACCTCATCTGTGAAAAGGAGATGGTTTTCTTTCTGAAGAGCTTTGAGACTTACGGATCAGAGGTGGTATGTGAAAGGATAAGGTTGAATATAATTGCACATGCAGAAACTGTACTGAAGCCTGGTTCCCAGGAGACAGAGGAGCCCTTATTGAGATGAGCTTTGTCATTTGTGGGAAATGTAAACCTTTATTTTGTGTTTCATGTTCATTAACTCTTCCCGTGCACTCTCGGTTATTGCTAGTGCAGTGGAATTGGCCCTTGGAGACAGCATACTGTAATCTTCATTCCTGATCTCTTACTCAGGAGAAGAGACTCAGGGATGTCTCTTACTGGGAACTGCATAAACTGCAGGAAAAGATAATCAGGCCAATGAAGAATGGAACTTTGTTTGTTGGGTGGTTTTGTTTGTTTGTGTGGTTTGTTTTTACTTGGACTCAAGAAAAGCAAGCCCTTTTAACTGATTTCTACCAGATGAATGAGCCATTGAAATCTGTACAGTGAAAGTTTTTTGGTGGTGTTGGGGTTTTTTGTTTGTTTGTTTAGGTTTTTTTTGTTCCCACATTTTTCACAGTTAAAATAACACTTCCTAATAATACTGCAGAGCTCAGGCAGATGAAGCACTTCACTTAGTGTGGTGCTGGCTGCCTGCCCTTATTCCAATGTTAGCAGGGCAAAAACCTCACCAGCAATGTGCCACTAATTGCCAGATAGAACATCAAGCAAAAAACATTCTGGAATCCACCAAGACACTTGGGTTCACAGTAATTGTATCATCAATTAATTTGATGTTATAAGAAGGTAGTGGGTTGACAATGTTACTTCTGCTGAAACCATAATTTTCTTCAAGGTTGATTTATAAAATACAGATTTTAGGGTCGCATTAAATCTTGAAGCAAATCCGAGTATATGTTTGTGTACTTTTACTTTGTCATATCGTATTAATTTTCAGTCTGAACTATGTGAATCCTAAGGAGTCTTCCAGGTTCTGGCAGACTGATTTAAACCACCAGCAGTTTGGAAATCTGCATGCACAGTGTTTGTTTATATTTTCTGTTAGGGCTATCCTGTGTTTTGATTACTTTTACGTTTTTCCAGTTTTCTGTGAGAAAGACCAGTGTTTAATACACTGGAGGCTGCTGTCCTGTGCATTAGGATAGCTTTCATTTTGTTCATGTCATGAGACCCACAGTGGAATAACTGTTGTAAGAACATGCAGAGCTACCTTTCCACAAGACCTAATAAAAGTGTCTTTCATAGAGTCCCCTCAGCTTCTGCATCATGTCATGGGAAAGGCAGCAGAACTTTATTTAGGAGTTTATGAAGCAGTCAGGCTGATTCTTGTAGTTTTTAGTCTTTTAAAAAAAACCAACAACTTACTGTATGAATCAAATTTTTATCTCCATAATGGTGCCTCATTTTTTACACATATGTCATTAATATTTCATTCTTTGATTGTGAAGCCACTGAATTAGTGCTTATCCAGGTTGGCAGAGGAGTTCACTGTATGGAGTCAAAAATTTGATTTGTTAGTTAGAGCACAATATCAGATAACTCAACTGAATTGAGAAGATCTCAGACCAGGTGGAACAATTACCAGACAGACAACAAGGGAATGCATGGTGATTGAATATTTTTGGTGGGTTTTGTTTTTATATTTTTCAAGTAAACATTAAACTACAATGTGCATGAACAAAGTATGTTCTGATTAAATGCCATGCTCATTACTTTTACTGGAACGAGCATGTTTAATGCTTAATTGGCAACCCATCCTGTCTACTTTACCATATGACGTTGGTTTATGGTGTGTAATGGTGTTGCTCTATCAAAAAGTTTTAATTACTCTGTTTTATATGTGATTTCCTATTATGGGAGATCAGCTCCAAGGCATAAAGCCTACAGAAGTTTTTCCAAAGAAAACTAATGTTAAGAGACTGTTTATCTTTAAAATAAATTGTGCATCTATCTCAGGAGCCTTTTTGACTGGAGAAAACATGGCCAGCCAGTACTGTGTCAGACCTCATTACACAGAACAGGGCTGTAGCTTGTCCAGTAGGTTTTGCAAGTCAACTCTTCACCTTGGCAGAGTTCAGTAAGGGCAAGATGAAATCCTGTATATGGGTGTGATAGACTGGGCTCACCTTCTGCATTCTTGCTGCTTCCGAGCAAACTCCCAAATTCATTGTGCTGAACTCCTTTGTGTCACAGCAAATACTTCTCATCAAAGGGAAATGTTGTATACCATTTATTTCACTGATTTTTTTTTTCAGTAGGAGACAAGCATTCAGGCCATGTGGATAATGTACCTTCCAGTTACAGAAAATGGTGATGCACAAATCTGGCCCCTGTCACACAGTCCTAAATGCAGGTAGTACTAGATGTATGTTCAACAGATATCCAGTAATCACTGCTTTCAGTGCAAGGCACAGCACTGTTGAATGTTGCCTTTCCTTTCACGTACTTTTGTATTAAACCATTAAAAAAACCTCAACAAAACAACTCAATTTGTACAGTTTGAACACAGTGATAATTAAGCATTAACCACATTTGATATGCCTTACCTTTTTAAATTAAGTTCTGTGGAAGGAAGTTTCTCCTTTAACAGACAAGAATTTTTTTACATCAAGTAAATGTGTTAGAATGCCCAAGTGCTTGTTTTGGAAAGACTGATATTCAGTACATTGTTATTAATAATCAAATATTGTCAAAAGGACATACAGTTTGGACGTTCCCTTGATTTACTTACATAGGGGCAGAGATGAATGTAGTTTCTTCTACGAAATCAGTATTGGTTTTCCTTGCAAAGTTTTTTTTTTTTAATAAGAAAAGTTTCCTTCTTTTTTTTTTTTTTCCCATAAGGATGGTGGCAGGCAATGCCTTCATTTGCTGCTTCCCCTTTTACTCAGAAATTAACTTCAGTGTTAGTGCCTGCTGTGATGCAGCTGTGCTGGACAAAGTAGCTGCCGTGAGGTGCACGGCTGTGCCAGGCCCTGCAGTGACCATACTGAGCATTCTCCCAAGCTGTTTGAATGTCACCATCAAACCATGGGCCAGCTTTTGCACTGATACAAACAGGGAGGTTTCAGTTGATGATGATGTATTCTAACCAGCAACAAACCTTGCTGATAAAGTTTATCTGTTCTGCTATTACCATTCTAAATTTCCAGGCTGTTTTGCCTGACAGACCAGCCCAGGCAAATAAGAACGTGCAATACCCAAGTATTTTTGTCAAAGGAATGAGGAGTTTGGGTTCAAACACTTAATATGGGGACAGTAGTTGGTGAAATATTTAGCAGTGGGAGAAATTAAATGCTGCAGCCTTAATGCCTGATGCATTGTGTCTGTGTGTGTTTTCAGATACTGTTGCTTACCATAGGAAGCTGTGATCAAAACTGCTCTGTGCTCTGTCTCAAAGCAAATGAGCAAGTGGTCTTGTGGGGCAAAAAGATGGAATGCTCTGGCTTTGTAGGATTTACTGAATTCTTAATAAACTTGAGGAAGAGAGGAGATGTGGGCTTTGCAGTTAGTTTGTGGTTCTAAATAAGCACATAAACTTCTGACAAGCTGTAGTTGCTCTAAGCAGGATTTTTGGCATTGAACATTTCTCTTATTTGGCTGGAAAACAAAACAAAGCTTGGTTGTTACTAAGGCAACATTAGTGCATTCATCTTTGCAGCTCTTTAGAATTAACAAATCAACATGAAGCCCCTTAAAAGTGTAAATTAATCTGCAGGACAGTAAAATGGAGCATCGACAGAGATGGTGCATTGCAGCTCTGCCTCTAGGAGAGGCAGCTTATTTAACCAAGACGTGATGTTACTTTTTTGAAGAATCCACAGCCAAACAGCATTAAAACCAGGCTCTCAGCTTATACTGAAGTGATTTTTTTTTATTATTTTTTTTTTTCCCTGCACATCGCGGCAGCCTCCCCTGGCAGTCAGCGGGAGTTCTTGTACCGATGATGTCATCGCTCAGTCTCCCCGCCGCTACCAGGGGACACAGCCGGGCTCTCGTCATGCACTGGCAACTGCCTTTGCTCACATTTTCTGCTGAAGACAGGCTGCATTTACTCATCTGCGGTGCATTTGCTTAGTTTGATTTGCCAGGGTTTTAAATATATTGTGTGTGTATGGACATACCTCTGATTATGTAGAGAAAGTGAAGGCTGCTGTGACTGACAGGGGAACTGAACAGTTTGTTCACCAGGCATGTAACATGTTTGATTTAATACCATATTTATAAACATGCCGTATTTTAACTGGGTGATCTCATTGCCTGTGTGGAAGAGAGGGTTATAAAGACATGCTGAAGTCTTCATGCTTTGTGAAAAACATGGCCTCAGTAGCTCAAGGAAAAAAAATGCATTTATCACTGATAGAATTGTTGAACTAGAGCCATTTGTAAAGATATTAGAGGGAAGTAGATGTAGAAGCACTAGACTAAATGGGGCTAAATTAATTTTGAATTAAATGGAATTTTTAAAAAATGCATTTTAAACCGAAAAAAAATCTCTGTGTTGCACTTGGTTGCCTGAAACATCACTAGGTGTGTCTGTGTGTCTGAGTCAAATACACTGACAGTTGGACAGTGTTTGTAATAACAAACTTTGCTGGTAATGGAATATATTTGTGTGGTGTGTAAAAATCCTTGCTACATGAACATGATCAAAAGCAGGGAAGGACACAATTAAGTTTCCCCAAGTAATCTTAGCTCAGCCTTGAGCAGGCAACATTAATATTTTTCCCCCCAAGGATTCCTTATCATCCATAATGGTCATGCTGGGGATTTAAGGAGTGGGTTTTGTGCGCAGCACAAAAAGTGTCAGTGTACTCTGAGTGATTTCATAGTGAGAAGGGAAGAATGGACAAATCTTAAGTGCATGTGCAGTGCCCTAAGAACTGTAAGTATGAAGTGCACTTTCCTATTCTTGTTCATGACCCAGCTTAGATCTGTGTGTATATGCCAGACTTGCAGGGGAAATGCATTCCCCATTTCTTCACTGGCATCACCTTCCCCCACCCAAGGAATTCCATACCTGAACTATTTTGCCTTCAGATTCTCACAGATGAATGTAGGGAGCTGTTTTCTCTATAGGTAGAACAAACATGAAAATCTGTAAAATAATATATGCCTTTTGCGAAGTATATGGCAATGTGAACCACTACAAACTGAGCTGGCACACTGCAGGTGAAGCAGCAACAAAAAATCATTGTCAAGTTCAGATCAGATTTCAGAGATAAAGGGACTTTGGGTTTTGGGTTGTTAAGGAGGGTGGAGAGAGAAGAAAGCTTTTTTTAAAAGGAGGAGTTAATGTTGGTGCTTGTCTGTCTTTTAGGTACATACATCATGACAACTGCCCTGGTGCCCCTCCTGGAAAAAGCAGCTGATGCCAGAGTGGTGAGTCTGTGATGCTGTTTAAAAAGGGTGTTTTACTATTTTTACCTTCTGGCTTGTAACAGCAGTTCTCTGACTGTGCTAGCAATGCAGGATTACTTACAATGCTGTAAGGATCTCTAAAATCCTCTTGGATTTTGCTAACAACAACCTCCTGCTCTAAGGCAAAGCTCCTGCCTGCTCTGATTTCCAGCCCTTCATTGGAAATCGGAGTAAAATACTTCATTTGGGAACTTACCCTCTTAGATTCCCTAGGGCAAGTCAGCTCCTGCAGCAGAGTGCGAAATATGTACAACAGGAGTATAGGCTTAAAAGAACTTTACAGATCTTGGTGTAAAATAAGACAGCAGGTACATTTTTAAAAATGAAATTTCCCAAGTTTTGTATGACTTCTAATTAGCTTTGTTAAGTGCTAAACATACAAACTACAAATAGTGCTATTCTGCTATTTTCTCTCTCCCCATTACTTTCCAAAAGGAAGAAGCACAAAATTCCTGAAATGAATCAACATCACTTTGAATGAAAATCCCTTCTTAAAAACGTTATATATCTTTCATCTCATCTCCAGGTATGCTCTACTTCTGAGCATAAGCATAATGCAAAAAGTATGCAGAGGAATCCTGCTCTGTAGGGACTTCCAGCTATGGCCTGAAGACAACATTGCATGCATGAGTGCATCTGTGGGGAGTTCCTGGTTTTGCTTTTCATTTGTTTGTTTTTCATTCATTTCATTACAGATCACTGTCTCTTCTGGGGGCATGCTAGTTCAAAAATTAAACGTATCTGACTTGCAGTCGGAAAGTGGGACATTTGATGGAACCATGGTATATGCACAGAACAAGGTACAGCCCATGGGATTGAAAACAAAGCCCAGCCCTTCTTTGCTAGGCAGCTCATACCATCTGCTTTGCAACAAGCCTGTTGGTCACTGTTGCTTTCCCCTTGCATCCAACCCACATGCAGATGCACAGGAGTAATCTTCAGGAGTATGATGGCATGCCCTTAGGAGTGCATACATCTTGCATGGAGGAGAGCATGGGTAGACTTTGATTTGATTTGAGAGAAGTCCCAAGGGGGAACACTGTCTTTAGCTGATGAACCCTGTCTGCCTGCTTAGTTCTTGCCCACAGTCTGCAGCAAATAGTCATGGTCAGTAAAAGCAGTGCAGCTGCTTTAAAAGTAAATTTGTAGCCAGGGTATGGATGGCAATGACTGTGGAAGTCTCTGATGGCATTATCCAATAAATCCAGCCAGGATGAGCAAGAGTATATTTCTGCTGTACATAAATGCTCTGGTATTTATAGCACATTTGATGTAGTTTATTTCCCTGGGAACTAATTTGGTGGACAGGCTGTTGAATGTGGTGCTAGCGTGGCTCTTACTGCTCTATCCTAGAGACAGCAAGTTGTCCTGACAGAACAGTGGGCAAAGGCTCACAGAAATATCCATTTCTCTGTGATGCACCCCGGCTGGGCAGACACCCCAGGTAGGTAACATCTGCTTCACTCTCTGACAATATTTTTTCTTTTCAGGATTAGTTTAAAAGCAAAGAGAAATGAAACTTCCTAGTATATTTTTCCAACAGGTGCAGTAATTTCTTTTCTCCAAACTGGTGCTTGAAGTAGTTTTATATCCCCTTGGTGGCTCTATTCTGCACGGTGTCTGCTAGCTGTGTATAGCTAGAGAATAACAATGGGCAGTGAATGCTTCCAGCCCTGCACAAATGCACAGCAGAGACACGGTTCTTTAAGGTAACCTTTAAGTTACATTTGTAGTGGAACTGTTAAAGGCACAGATGGACCTTCTGCCTCTGTAAGTACCAATGTGCAGACACTAGGAATTAGTGAGGGCACGTAGGAGAATGCGCCACTGTGCAAGCCCTCTGCTCTTCCTCTAACCATTTACTGCTGTTGAGAAGCAGTTTGGCCATTCAGCCCTTTGTCTGAGCTGCAGCTGTTCTTCAGTGACTGTGCCTGAGTAGGTGGGCCAGCATCAGGCATGCACTATGCATGTTGCATTCCCCAATGTTTCCAGCCCCCAGTGCCCAAGCTTGGGATGCAGAATAGCAGTTACATCTCTAGATCTTTTATAGGGATGCATTTTCCAAAATTTGCTTCTGACAACAGAAGCATTTACCCTGTCTATGCTTGAAAATAGCCCTTTCCAACTAAATATCCTGGTATTTCTTTTTCTTTAAAATACATTTATTTTTGCACTTCCTTTGCAGATTTCAAACTTAATGAACCATAAAGTTGTCCCACCTTAAAGTTCAAAGACTCTCCAACCCCCCCAAAATAAACACCTATATTGGATGGGCCTACAGTCACCATCTATTGGACAAAATAAAATGAAACCAGAGTTTAGACAGCAAGTAAGCAATTTTTAAATACAGTGCTGCAACTGGTTTCCTAAAACTGGTGAGAAAAGAAGAGCTAAAAATCCCATTACAACACCGCTTTTTAGAATTTCTGTTTTCCCCGTGTTTGTCATCTTTACAGTTCGGAATGGAATTGGCAGAGGAACCTCTGACAGATCCTGTTGTCAGTTTTGTCCCTGTAATTTGACCCAAACAAACAAGTGGTGGATCATCTGGCGGCTTAGTGCTATTCTCCCACAAGCCATCCTACTCCCAGATAGGGGGAAATACTCATTGTCTTCCATAAGCTCCAGAGATGCTTCTCCTTCCTACACACAAAATGGCAATTTGAAGCTGGTTTGGTTTTTGGTTTTGGTTTGTTTATTTGTTTGGGGGGTTTGTATGTGTGTGTGTGAAAAAAGCCTTGCATGGCAGGCCACCATTCCATTGTTATCCTTTCCAGCTGTGAGGTCGTCCATGCCCGATTTCTACGAGAGGATGAAGAACTCTCTGCGCACGGAGGCCCAGGGAGCCGACACCGTCCTGTGGTTGGCGGTGTCAGCTGAAGCAACAAAGCTGCCCAGTGGTTTGTTCTTCCAAGGTAAGGAGCAGTGTCTCACAGTGCACAGACTGGAGATCCCCAGCCTGCCTGAGCTTAGGATCCCTCTCTGGCCTGGAAGGGGATAAAGGCTGCACCAGGCAGCTTGTGCAAAGGATAAAAGCATTCCTCAAAGTTGTTTCAAGTCTAAATGTTCGAGTGAGCATTGTGTTAAATTGTTATATTCCTGCCTTTGTCCTCTAAAGTAGCTGATAGAGACTTCAAAGCATTTCTTTAGGGAGGGTTGGAGATTTTTTGTAATGAAAATGGCTGCATGTAGGACTGTGCCAAGGGAAGGTGAATCACAGCAGTCAAACAGCATCTTTTATGATGCTAGGAAATGAGCATCTTTCTCACAGAGCACTGGGAGTTGGCTCTGCTTTGACAGGTTCTTCTTCGTATTGTTCCATGCTGGCTAAAACTGCCAATTCCCCCTTTCTCTAACACTGGGCAAAGACTTGAGCACAGTGGCATTTTTGGCACTGAGCTTAGGGAATGGAAAAGTAGGGCAGAGCCTTTCTTTTCTCCCAGACAAATGACAGGCATCTTTGTAGGAGCAGCTGGAAGCAAGGATGCCTCAGTGGTGATGCAGGTCAGTCCAGAGAGAGAAAGCTCAGGGTAATTTCTTACAGAAGCTTAGTGCTTCTGTTGGATGTGGCACTCAAATCCTGATTCACTGAATTTCTGTATAGAGAATGCAGGAAGCTCAGACTTTTCTGCATTTGGGTTGACTTTGTCCCTTCTGTCCCACAGACAGTCACACAGGGTTGGCTGACAGTTATTTAAATGGACATTTTTCATGTCAGCATGTGGTGCATGTGGAAACCCCACATCCCAGCTGGTCAGCCTTCTTTGTAGAACCAGGCTTTCCCTTTCTTTTACTCCAGCCACTTTCTTCTGGTCCTAATGCTTCTGCTCAGTTGTTCTTTCTGTTTCTTTCATAATTTCACCAGGCTCTTCCCTTTGGCCTTTTTCTATCCCCAGCTTTGGTAAACAGGGAACATGCCCTGCCTCTTTAGCTAAAGCTACTGGCTTTTGAGAGCTTTGGTCCTGGTATGACTGCTCTTAAAGCTGCAAGAGAAGTTCTCTGTCCTGTGTATGTCTTGTGCTTACCAAATAGTGGTGAAGTCAGTTATTTCTTGCTTCTATGACCTTTTGGAAGCCACAGCTTAGCTTAGCTTGGGCACTCTTCAAGTCCTTTCAGTGAAGGGTCTGGGCTGCAGGAGCACTTTGCTACAAACCCCACACTTCTGATCCTAGGCAGCCATTTTCCAAATCAGTCACAGTTTCCCTCCATTTTCTGCATTCTCTTCTTCTGTTCCCTCTGAGAGCAAACCAAAGCCAGCTTTTTTTTTTTTTTTAACCTGAGAAAATAATAAAAGGAAGTGACAATATGACTAGTACTACCAGAATTCTCTGCATCTGCTAAAATATATAAAAACAGAGACGTGCTTTCCAAAGACTAGAAACATCTTGTCTGTGATGCTGAACTTGGCTTTCATACCTAGTTCCCAAACTTTAGCACAGGCTACTGGATGCACTATGGCTAGGTGGGAAGCCATTCATATTCAGTGATGGAGAAGGGAACATTCCCCTCTCTCTCTCTCCTCAGTTTTCCATGAACAGAAGTTATGTGGTGTGTGCAGTCAGGTAAACATTTGCTCTTAAGAGAGCAAATACCTCTGCTCTCCTGGGAAGCCCAGTGGCAGCCTGATAGGTTTTCAGGGAAATCTGCTTCCCAGGGTTGCAGCAGCTTGTTCTTTTTGTCTCAGCTGGCTGCTGTGGAAGTTGGGCTTGCTAAGTAGATTTAACAGTGCTGCAACGGTGCTCTGACTGTTGTTCTACAGACACCTGACAGCATTGTCATAAGGCTCCCAGGCTCTAGACACCATGTTTTTGGAGGGGAGGATCCCTTAGAGTGGATGGTGGTAACAGCTGTATTTACAGAGTGAGTGACAGGCATGAGATTTGGAAAACAAAGCAAAGCATCAAACTGAGCAAACTTAGTTGGATACGTGTCACTTATGGTGACTGAGCAATAAGCTCAAGTTCCTTTGCATTTAGAATTTAAACATTGTTTCTAAGGATGAAACAAGCATTTTAAGATTGAAAATAATCCTAATTACAGAGTCCCAGCTGGGAACTAGAAAGATTATCCAGGAGGCAAGGAAAAATGTTGTTTCAAGTGCAAAATCATCTTCTGCCTGCAGCAACAGACTCCAGCTATTGCTCTTTGCCTGCAGGTGCTGCACTAGTGACAGGCATAACCCCACAGGGAAGCAATCCTTTTCCTAAACTGTCCCCAGCTGCAAATAGGAGCTTGCTGCACAGTCCAGGTCATATTGTGCTACAGAAAAATCACTCCAGCTCCAAAATACAAATTGAATTGGTTTAATTTTTGGTTTAGAAGATATGCTTAACTAGCATTATTTACAGTTACCTAAAAGGTTAATTTTCCTGGCTTCAAGACCATGAGGTATGTTTGGGCAGTACAGAGTCTATCAGAAAAACCTCCTTTCTGCTATAAGAGAGTTAATGTACCAATAAGGTTGGTTTTTTTCTCTTCTTTTCTTCCAGACAGGCAACCAGTCCCTACACACTTACCCCTAGCATACACCCACAGTCCACCAGAGGATGAAGAGAAACTAATGGAGGTGCTGGAAGAGTTCTCCCAGAAGTTTAAATCTGCTTCTCCGGGAATTTAGTGTCTCTGCTGACACAGTGTCACCACAAATCTTCTAATTACACAGTAATCTGCTGTTGAGGGGAAGTAGGATGCCGTAAGCCTGTTAAAAATGAATTAGGTTCAGGTGTTCTCATAATGAGGTGGTAGAGTGGCTCCTGTGTAATTTTTCTCTGCTGCCAAGTCTCTCCCATTGTGAATATGCAGCTGCTGCCTCAAGACACACTGAGGTTGTGTTCTTTGGATTGGAAGAAAAATTGAGAGGCATTAAAATAAGCCCTGAGACTTTGTAAAGTTACCTAGAATAATTTAAAACACTCAGCACAGAGAAATGCAGAGGAGTGTACTTTCAGTAACCTTTGTGAAGGACTTCAGGAAAGAAGTGGGAATGTTTTACACAACTTTTAACTGCTGTATTAGACAGGTTGGTGGCTTCCTTCACTGCATGAGGGTGATTGGGCTCAAGCATGTAACTGGGAATGCAGAAACTCTCTTGCAGAGCCTGCTTAGTTTAAAGGGAAGGATTCCTCACAGCCTTTAGTTTCTATAAATTAGTGCTGGTATGCAGAAGTGATCTGCTTCCTCATGTTTAAACAGCAAGAATTTAGGAACACTGCCAAATGCCTTCCACATTACTTTATGGAGCCAGGGCTAAATATTATCCCATTTATGTCAAAATACCATGAAGTAGGAGGTTTCAACACAACACACCCAGACATGGCTGGATCCAGCAGAGAAATGGCTGCATGACTGTAGGCACAAAAGGAAACAACATGTTAACGTGTATCTGCTTGCCATTTCTGTGAGAAATTAAAGGGAATTGTTTTATCATTGTGAATGGATTAAGAGGGGAAGGGAGCACTGGTGTGGCACAGGTTTTAGAGGAGAATGCACCTCCTGATGAGAGGCTTGTGTTTTGTCTGGGTGTGTTTACTTCCAGACACAGAGGACAGGATTCATCCTGCCTGATCTGTGGACATTTGAATTACTCACAGTTTCTCACTGTAAATCAGTAGAGGGGAAAATGGGCTTTTTCATAGGGATTTACTGGATCTAGTTTAAGAAGCACCACCTACAGTGCTGCATCTTTCTATGAGTGCTGAAGACAATCAGCTCAGACTTAGACTTTCTGGTGATACTCATTTTGTCTTAATTATTTCAGATTTACTGCAAAGCCAAGACTATTATTAACAAAGGTAACACCTTTTCTCCTGAACTGAGTGTGTTTATTAACCAGCTGCCTCCAGAACCCAGCCAAGTCGCTGCAGTGTTTCACATGTGGCTCACACCAGTGTGGGAGGACCAAGGACCTAAACACAAATATAACACAGATGTTCTTGAGCTCTCTGCAGTGACTGGCAGCTAAAGACTGGTGATGGACAGGGGAGAGCTCCTTCTGTCTGCTTTATGTAATTTAGTTTCCTCCTGGCTGATGGGATTTCCTCATTATTCAAAGATCTCCTATTAAGTATCAGTTTAGGAAAAAACCTGTTTTTTTCAGCCTATTGTCAATCTCCTTAGAAATAAAGACTTTACTCTCAAAAAGGCCCTGACAAAAATTTTCCCATGATAAGAAGTGGTGAGACAAGTCAGGCTGTCACAGCTTCTCCTGAAGAGGCTGGGTCAGCATTCAAGTTATTGCCTCATTTATAAACTTAACTCCTTCTTGCACTACAGTGAAAGAAAACAACAGCAAGGCTTGTACAGAGGTTTATTTCCTGCAAATCTGGTATTAACATTTTCTATGGTTTCAGCTGTTAAATACAGTTACCCAAAACCAAGAGCATGGCTGGAAACATATATACTAACTACATTTCTTAACCCAATAGCTGCAAGGCTAATAAAAACATCTGCATTATTTAGTATTTACAGCAGTTTGCTTCTCAGCTCTGCAGTACAGAAGAAAAGTTTAATGACTGGTATTTAAATAGTTCATAAAAGTAAAAACTGTGCACTATATATGTATATATTTAACACATTTTAGTCCACATTCTACACTAGTGTATTTCAATAGCCTATATTTTTCATTTTTTGTCACAGCTTAAAAATGAAACCAGTTAAGAAAACTGCTTTAATCAAAGTTTGGTCACAGTGTCTTAAGAGCAACATGCAATGGTTTAAGAGCACTTCTGATTTAAAAAGAACTAAACCACAGGAACAGCAAGTAGAAACAAAGTCCAGAGTGTCACACACTTTAGTATTATGGTCCTGCTGTTGCTTTATTTCAGCCTGATTCCACGAGAGCAAACATGTGGCTGCAAGCCAGTGAGAGGATCTGTCTAATGCAATCCAGAGTGACTTGCACCTTCATGTAAGTGAATACATTTACAGACTCACAGATTATGCTGAGTCCGAAGGGATCCACAAGGATCATGGTGTCCAACTCCTGGCCCTGCACAGGACACCCCAAGAGTCACACCAGGTGCCTGAGAGCACTGTCCAAGTGCTTCATGAACTCTGTCAGGCTGTTGCTGTGATCACTTCCCTGGGGAGCCTGTTCCAGTGCCCAGCCACCCTCTGGGTCAAGAACCTTTTCCTGATATCCAACCTAAACCTCCCCTGGCACAACTTCAGTCCATGGCCTTGGGCCCTGTCACTGGTCACCCCAGAGATGAGATCAGTGCCTGCCTCTCCTCTTGCCCTCACAAGGAAGTTGTAGACTGTGATTAGGTCTCCCCTCGGTCTCCTCTTCCACTTTAAAACTTCATGAACAAAATAAAAACAGCATCCAGTGACAGATGAGCAGAAGATGAAGGTGACACAGGTCCTTGTTAAGCAGTGCACACTGGGAGTTTGAGAACACACCTGGTTCATGGGAATGGAATGACAAGCACAGCAGCTGCTCTTGTCACCCTTTCCAGTCTAGGCACAGCCCAACACTTCTTGTGGCAGCTTTGAGGCTTTTATGACTCTGACCTCACTCTGATGGCTTCATATTTTTCTTCATTTTGTGAAGTCAGCTACTTGGGAAGTTTTTGCTCTCAGGGATCTTGCACAGGAATGTAGCACCACAGAGCACATGTGGAGTTGGTAATTTCCCTACATCCTAATGGAAAGGCACAGCCCATCATCAGTGCAGCAGGGCAGGGATGCAGGGGCCACTGCAACTTCTCTTTTTGTCTTGGATGAAAATTTTAGGAGGTCAATGTAACCAGTATCAAACAATTTTGTAAACTGCATTTTTTCTTTAGTTTAATTTCTGGGTCATCTTTATTTATTGTTTAAAAAAACTCAATAAACTAAATCAACCTGCTGTTGATTAAAGGTGTAAAAAATTGTTTGTTGTTTGCCTTTGAATGGGGGCACTCCCATAAATACCTCACAATTTTGGAGTAAACTGCCAATACCAATTGTTGGCATTTGCAGTAACACATGCTCCAGCTTCTGTGTTCTACTCAGTGGGAACAAGGTATGAGCAGGGCCACCCCTTTCCCTTCCTGTGGGAGGCTCAGGTGGGATTTTGAATATGCACTGCCTGGGCTCCAAGGGAGTTCTGTATATCCTTCATTATAGCCTGATAAGTCAGTCCTGCAAACCTCAATGTAAATAAATTTATTTGGTGGGGGGATGGTCCCAGCCATTTCAATTGTCAGTACAAGCACTAGTTTGTATTTTTGTAATGACAAAGCCTTTCTAAAAGCCATGGCACTTGAAGCAGTACTAGTTTTCCTCAACTTGGTGAGTCTTTCAGGGAACAACCTGCTGGAACAGTGGAGGAGGGCAGCTATGAAGCAGTTCAATCTGTGAGTTCCTCTGTGTTACTCTCTCACACTCCCTGCAAAAATAAAGCACCCCATCTCATGACACTGGATCATACTTGTCTAAAACTAGTGCTGGTCAACATCCACCCACAGTCATTTTAGGTAGGCAGTTTCCACTCTGGCAGAGCACAGCTTTGCATCTTCCCTAGCTCAGCTCACAGTATTTCTTGTTTGCCTCAGGTTCCATCTCTTGCTTTGTTGGGAGAGGTAATTCTGGGCACATTGCAGCAGAGCCAGCAACTGATTACAGGAGAAAATTTTAAAATGCAACTAAGATGACTTGAAAATTCTGTATTCCTGCAGTCACCCAAAAAGCACTGATCTAGACAATGAGAGAAAGGCTTTGAAAAGGCACCAAATCTGATAAGGAGAAAGTGCAAAAAAACCCCACTTCTGGGACTAAAAGTGATCAAATCCAAGAACGTCAGTTTGTGCACTAGGGCAGTATTTATGTTCCTCTCTCTAGATGGAGCCATCAGATAAAGAAAAATGATGTATTCCTCTGAAGGAAGTGTGTTTTCTCTGAAAACAAAAGCTAATGCTCAGCTTTACGAAGGGGCACAGTGTCAACATGGCCAAAGGTCTTCAGCAGGACAGGTTTCTACCCTGCTGCCAGGAGATACAACTCAAACCTTTGCTGTACCAGCAATGCCATTTCACAGATAAAAATATTATTAAAATATTATAGCAGAAAAGTGGTAAAACCTGCACTTGTGCAAACTTCAGGGAGAGAGGTCCCAGGAAATGCCGTTTTCTTTGATGGTTTAAAATCTTGAGCATCTTCCCTTTAGTTTTCAGTTTAGAATCCACAATCCACAGGGAGCCTTGGAGAGATGCACAAAATCATGCAATTCCTCTGCTGCCCAGACACCATTTCCTTTGGGCTGCTCACCCAGCCAGGCACTCAGGGTAAGAATTTGTCCAGGCAAAAGACATGTCCATACAACAGCTGTCAGTTTTATGACAATTCACAAACAGGCAGGTGAATGATTCCAGTCAAAACTCAGTAAACCAAATTCCTCATTACACACATAGAGAAGGAAAAGAAATAGCCAAAAGCTGACAGAAATTAATTTAGTGGGGTTAAGATACCACAATTTATTTAGCTACATCGGAGACACTTATTTACATAATGGAACAGTACTGGAAAGTGTTACAATGTAGTTGGTAGAAAAGATGGTCAAATTGTTGAGCAGCATTCCTATAAAACACTGACCTGAACAAAAGCCAGTAGGAGCTTTTTTTCATATAAAATCCCTCTAATCAAAAAGACAGCAAAGCCCATGAGGTATTGGTCAGTATGACAACTTACCAAGCAGAGTCAGAAACAAGGCTCAGCCTTTGGAAAGCTAAACCACAGCCAAAACTAGTACTAATGACAAAGATGTAGCAAGGAAGTTTGTGAATTTGTTTATTTGTGAAAATTCCTTAATTACTTGGCCGTGGCAACTCCACAGAATTTTCTTGGGACAGGACAAAATAGGGGTGTTAGCAATGGGTTTTTCACATCTGAAGGATGCCCTGACCTATGATAAAATGAAAGTAAAGGTGATAAACCCTTTAATAAATTCAGATTATTTAATATCCAAAGAACAAATAACTAGAGAGACTATCTTCATAAGGCCTGACACCTCTTCTGTACCATCTCAGTAGTAATGTGTCTTTTCCCCATCCTCTTAATATTGAAGTGCTCATGCATTTAATGCAGTCCTGAAAAAACTACTTGAGGTAGATAAATTTTATTTGGCAATTGAACCAAAGAACAAGAAATGGAAGTCAAATCTTCATAGACTGGAACAACTCTTTGTTCCTTGTGGCTTCTGGATCTGGACCATGGCTGCTGGCTGGCTTACAGTACTGGGATGGGGGTTTGGTTTGGTTTTATACATCTCTGATGAATATTCATTTCTATACTGTAGGTGCTTTTTGGTTTGGTTTGTTTGGTTTTTTTAGGTTTTGTTGGTACGATGATAACAATCTTTCTCGGTATCCCCTCTTTGCACAGACTTTGCCAGGACTGTGCTCTCTTGTTTTCATTTTGGTTTGAGTTCAACGTCCCTACTTGGCAGCAATTTCAATTGAACTCAATCTCTTTCTCTTCTGAGCAGTACAATGTGTCCTGAAGCAAACAAAATTTCAGAGATGGCCAAAGACTGGTCACAAGGGAAAATCCCCAAACTGGGAAAATGCAATGAAAAGTCACATGTGATCACAGAAAGTTAATCTCAAATCCCAGAACTTCAAGTTATTGGGAAACTAAGGACATTTTTTTTCTTCTGAGGAGCAAAGATTTCCTGCCAACATTCACACGATGCAATTTTGAAGAGAAAAATCTCTGTCTTCCTCAATATTACATAAGAGGTCATCACTGAAAGGACTCAGCACATCAATGCATCCTGAACAAATGATCAAGTTTGTTGTTACTGTTGCATCTTCTAGGGGCTAATTGAAAACATCCCATGGGCTCGCTGTGGTCTCCTGGAAAAGACATGGCCTGTAAAACCACACATTGTAGCCCTATTTCCTGTGTGCTACAAAACAGAACTTTGGTTGCTGGTATGCAAATCCTGTTTGGAACAGCAAGGCCAGACAAATGTAATATTAGCTAATTTGGCAGTAACTAATTTGGTAGTAGTTTAGATTTAAGGAAAGATAGTAATTTCTTTCCTTCTCTCTGCAATAGAGTAGACACAGGCATTAAATGGACTTTGAATCATAGAATGGCTGAGGTGGGATAGAACCTTCAAAGGTCATCTGGTCCTGCTCAAGCAGGGTCACCTAGAGGTGGTTGCCCAGGGTCATGTCCAGTTGGGTTTTCTCCAAAGATGGAGAACCCACAAACTACCTGCCTGGCCAGTCTGTGCCCATGCTCAGTCACCCTTGCAGTAAAAATTGTTTCCTGAAGTTCAGAGGAAATCTGTGTTTCTGTTTGTGCCCATTGCCTCTGGCCCTGTCACTGGACACCAGTGCATTCTCTTTGTACCCTCCCTTCAGGCATTTATACACACTGATGAGATCCCTCTGAGCCTTCTTTTCTCCAGATGAACAGTCCCAGCTCTCCCAAATATACTCCAGTACCTTTCACCATCTCAGTGTTCCTTTGCTGGACTCCATACAGTGGTTTCATTTCCCCAGAGGGAACACATCCCTCCCTTTCCCAGTACTGGAGATGCCCATGCCACCCTCAGGCAACGTGCGGTAACCACTACTGAGGTACTAAGAGCCCACATGCTGACATTCAGGTGATGGCCTCAGGTTCAGGAGGACAGAGCAGGGAGGTCACCTGGGCTTGGCTGCAAAAAGCAGCTGCAGACAAGAGTGCCCACAGCTGAGCACACCAATGTCACTGCTCAGGATTATCCTCTGGCAGACTGGCTGACTTGTAGCCCTACCACTGCTGTTTCAACATCTAACATTAAGTGGGATGGGAGGACCATCAATGCTACATTGCAAGCAGATGCCCACATTCTTTTCCCTTCACTTAAATATTTTCAGCTTAAAAAGACTGAAGTTTGGTGCTCAGATTGCCCCACCTGGGACTGAAGTGACTCTAGCAAGCTGCTCAGGCACTGTGTATGTGACCAGCACCTGCCACATCACCTGCCTAAGCCCTACAGACACTGCTAATTTAAAAACCCAGAATAGCAGGCAGATGCTCTGGAGGTCACTTCCCAGAAGGAAGCATCAGCTAAAGGAGAAATGAAATCACCTTTTCTGATGTGTAGAGCAGAGAGAGCTAGCAACGTCTGTGTGTCCCTTGTCACAGCATGAGGTATCACTAAAAGCTACTGCCCTTCAGCAGCCCCAGGGAAAGGGGGCTTGGCTTCATTAAAGAGTTTATGCATAGTCCACACCTGTATCAAAACACCCCCTCCTCCCATCCTCCAATGGTGCAATTCATAAAAATAGCTCAGATTTCTTATTCAGCAAATAAAATGGAAAAAAAGGACCAGGCAACAGAGATCCCTTTTTGTACACATCTAGCAGACAGAAGAAACTGAGATTGCTACTCTAACACAGCAGAAGAGGAAGACAGGCATTTTAACTCTCCCAGTGTCAAATCCTTCTTGCTTCATTTGGAAAGTAAAAGAATTATTGAATTAGATGCATCTATTTTCTCTTCATAATGTCTACATTTCAGCTCTTGAGGGCATTGCAAAGGGACAAATTTTCCTTCCCCCCTCAGCTTCACTTGAAGTTTATATAATTTTCTAAGCCCAGAGCAGCTTGTCCTGAAACTGCAAGATAAGGAGATATTTAACTTAAATCCAGATAACCCTGCAGGTCATTCAGTGAGAAAGAAGAACTAGGAGAATTCTGCAAAACAGTTTTGCATACCCCACAGCCACATATAAGCAACATTGAAACCACGACTCCTTGGAAGACAATGGGGGAGTGGCCACGAGTTTATTGCAGACCAGTCCAAACAAGTCGTTCTCAAATGCAGTCTCCTTCGCAATCAGTTCTTCACCTCTGTTTGCACATTAGGCATTCAGGAGTAGGTGCTGACCAGGGGCAGATCCTCACCTTGCTG